GATGATAATACGATATATTGCCCAGCCCTACCCGCGGCATTTTTTATCACGCTGGCAGATTAGCCCCCTCTCTCAAGTTTCTCCCTCGCAGGTCATGCCCACAAAAAATATACCCACTCAAAAACTTCATGAATCTTCCACGGTTCGGGCGTACACAGATCGGAAATTGCCGTATTCATTTCGCGTAAGTCACAGCTGACGTCATGTCACGTATAACGTCACATATATCGTATACCGCAAAAACAGATCAAATTATGTTTATATCAAAGATGATGTTCGTTTTATTCATGCTTTTTAAAACTATTTAGAAATTCTTTGGCCTATTTAAAGGTTTTTATGATGAGATGATTCTTTAGATTTCTATAAGAACATAATAAAGTGAAAAAGTTAACAAAAGTGGAAAGCGAAGAAGAAAATATGCAACTAAAAAAATTCATGTCAAAAATCCACCGTTTGGCTAAATTTGTTATCGTCTTATCTATGGCGTAATACAACCAAAATACAACAATTAAGGCAATTGAAAACCGGTAATGCTATCACCATAAGTTCTTAACAACAGGCACGCGGATTACACACTAAAACTGTCGGCTGGATAGTTCTTGTATTAAATCTGTATTTTCCGGCAAAAAAGAACTAAGATTCACGTCAGAATGAAATAAATACAATAACAATTGATTTTATGATAAAATGCAATAAATCATGCATGTCTAGTCTTGACGTATTGGCGATTCTTTTAGGTCTTGTTTTCGAGACCATATTTAGATATCTGTCCTGTTTTACCCTCTTTCAACGCAGGGTGTGTCTACTTTTGCTGACGCAGGTTTTGTTCTTCACCGTTTTTGTTTGCGCCGTTGTGGATAATTTCCTGTCTTCAGTTCAAGTGAAGCAGCATGCCTCACAGATAAAATGTATTAATGCATATAAGAATGCACAGGTGCAGTTGTTTCCCGTATATGTTATTGGTATCTGGAATGTGGCATATGGGTCGGGTTGTAAATATATGCTTTCTGTGTCCTTGAGCCAACATTGTCGCTAAACTACTAAAGGCGGGCCTGGATGGTTTTCTTCTCTACGTTTTCTCAGATGGATGATCTAATTCATGTAACGTAGAAAATTTGTTGGTGTGTTGCACTTTGCATTGTTACTTTTTGGTATGTATTCTGAGAAGATAAGATCCAATCGCGTTTGTGATATATTTCCTTTTCGTGAAAATATTTTGATTCCATGAAATTATAGGCAGAGATAAAATTTAACAATTGATTTTGATGTCGCACAGTTATTTGAGCGTATAGGTTTTAATATCTCTTTTTCGGGATTAAAGCAAGGTATAAGGTGTTAAGCAAGGTGAGGTGTTAAGCAGTTCTTAGAACCGACCACGCAAATTCTAGTTTCTTTGATAATTGTGACTAGGCAGTATTTTTAAAAACGTTCCACCGATGGTGAACTCCCAACTTTGAATTGTGAAATTTCAATTCGTATACGCAGTAACAGCTAATTTTGTGGTGAATAAAATCAGTTTATTTTTGATAATTTTGACCGACATTTTGGCTATTTTCAAATAAAAAAATGTGTTTTCAAATCATGCATCAATTCATCCATCATACTGAATAGACAAAAAACAATTGATAACTTTTTATCGTCTCGTTGTGGCTGATAAATTCAATGATGCCGCTTGTCGGCACAGTGAAACTATCAAAATTATATATTATTTCAAATAACTACTCAATCTTCGAAACATTATCGTCACAATTCATGCACTTCACGCACATACTTAGTCTTAGTATTTGAAAAAGCTAATGTCGAACTCTTCAATGCCGAAGTTAGCATCTTCAAAAACAAATAGCGACAATGTGGTGTTCCATGCAGTGGTCCGAACAGAATTAACCCAAACTGAGACAATTAGGCACCGATCATTATCAGAGATATTGGAAAATTGTGTCCTAGCTTGCATTTGCATGCAATATACATTATTTTTCAAAAGGAAATTGTACACGAGGTTTTTCAGATTTTTTTAAGTTATTCATGGCCATAATTGGACCAACAAAAAGTCAACTCTAGAAAATTGAACTCCGCGGTGTTTTCATGGAATTAAAATCCGAATAAGGCTCGCGAGCTGAGAGCAAGTATCCAAATCCCACATGCAGGAATTAGAATGCGACAAAAGCCGAAACAAGCACTGCGTAGAAGATTTCTGTTTCATGCATTGAAAGAAAACAGCGTTGGGCAATTTTGCGCTTGCCTTCACGAGCGCAAACTGCGATGAAACCGTTATCATGGACTGCCTTAGACATCTGATTTCTTTTTCTATGATCCAAGTAGAACCTTTCACCATTTAAAACATTTATAAAAAACCGTGTTGGGGTGGAGAGGCTGGTTAAATTTCTGAGGTTCATCTCAGATTGCTGACACACTTATCTCCACCATGATCACTGTGTTTTGTATTTTCGCTTCATTCACGGGTGGCTTATCGGATTTTCTTGTTTGTTCAGCCGGGCGCCTCAAGCATTCCATTTTTCATAGCAAGGACAATATGTTAGGTGGTAGGTCGCACACCTGGTAGCCTTCAGGGAAATATCTGTAAAATTAGTAACGTTCAATCCAAAGAGTTCTTCTTCTGGTCATATTTGAAGCGAAGTAATTTACATTTGTTTTCATTGCATTATTTGCATAATTTGTTTCACGAACACAGAAATACTGCAGCTTATAATCGCATGACCTGCTTGCATGACATGCTGGTAGAAGCGAAGGTAAAGATATTGCACTTACAATAAATCATGATGATTAATTGTACTGCATTAAGTTTTTTGGGAGAAAATATATCTAGTATCGTTTGATAAAGAAAATCATCTGCCAAGTGATACAGTGCATAATCCTGTTTCGAAAGGAGACGCGATGTCGGTGTTGCACGGCACGAGAGCTGACGAGTTTTACGTAAGGATCCAATTTAGCGTTAATTATTTCCATTTTACTGCTGACATTGTGGTGATTGTTTGATACGCTTTGCTATCATCAATGGAAGAGATCGGCAGACAGTCGATTTATTGAATTTTCACATGATTTGAGTCACAAGACAGCGGTTGTACTGTAAATATACAGTAATATATATATGATATGCAGTTGTTGATTTTCAATCCGAAACACACTCTTCCCTCACAATTTACAGCAAACTTTTAGGTTTTGAACAGTTTTAAAGTGTCGATACTTAAACTAATGGTATATTTATACAACACCATTAGTCTATTGGGAGGATCATTGCTTTTTAATGCACACATGCATACAAGACTCGGACTAGACTGGGCATTGCAAGTTTATTTTGTTTATTAAGACAAATTTTATTTTGCATGCCATTTGCATTGTTTTTTCTTAAGCAATGGATTCTGTCTGGGGATTAAAAAGACCTGAACATGGAGATAAAAGTAATGAAATTTCTGTCTTGCTGTTACTGTAAATCTGGGCCTCGATGCGGTTCAACGTTGACTGCAATTCAAAACGACAATTACTTAAGACATGCTGAATAAAATCAAGATGCAAAGCGTCATTTATCGAGGCCATTTCTCTTTTAAAGATGACAAGTTTTGGTGACAAATCATGTCGTTGTCGGATTCATTCTTTTTAGGGGGCGAGGTTTACTGGTGTTATACCATGTTGGAGGTCAATGTTTGATAATGTGAAACCACATGAATGGTTTGATAATGATTGTAGGTTTCGTTCTTCAGTTGTCACCCTAATACTATACTAAATGGCGGTGGGATGTTTTGTTGTTAAATATGACAGTTGTGATGACTCCGAGTCCGCGTTTTCTACAACTCCACTCCGTGTTTTACAACATGCCGATAATCTGTTATTGTTGTTTCAATATACGGTGATTATTCTCAAAACAAATCTTGTTTGCTTATTATTATTGTTTTCTTTTGCTTTATTTATGTACAACTTAAGTTTGTCATCTCTGTCCGAGTTTGCATGAACAACCGCGTCGTATGTGTAACCGAACCGTTTTAATACCATTTATTCATCCCCACGACCCGATGATGTGCGCAATTTGTCATCGGTCGATAGTTGACTTCATAAAGACGAAGATATAGATGATTTCGTATCTTGCCAAGGCCGCATTCCTAGCTCTTGTAGCGTTCTTGGCCACCGACAATTCGACTAATTGCTCTAATTGAAAGTACTTTATCTCTAATGTTGGTATGACAATTTGAGCGGCAGGGAGAAGCCCTGTGTCTTCTTTAAGACCCTGTTTGTTGTGCGTGTTTGTTTTCACTCCCATTTAAACACACTGATACAAGTCATCAAATGCAACGAATGAAGGGTAAAAGCTTGTACTTTGCAGCTTTGCAAATTTTACAGAAGCTTATTATTGCACAAGAGAAGTTAATCAATTCGCCGTTCTGCATGGGAATTGATAGGAACGAGATTATAATTCGGTCCCTAAATAAGCAAGTTTTACGACCTCTATCGGGAGCGCCGCAGCTGTTTCGTTTTGATAAGTAAAACCACGGCCCTGATCAAATGGAACTGTTCAGTTCAAAACGAATTTTTATGACGCGCGAGTCTTCTTTGAAATGCACTACACGATAGTGATTACGCGAATCAAATGAGCAAATATAAGCGCCAGCAGCGTTCTTTTAAAATCGCACACGACTATCGTAAACTAGTGTAAATGGGCCGTCCTCATACGACCTTTGCGGGATGTCCCCATTAACGATTACGAAATTGTTGCGTTTACCCCCTTGCACTCGTATTATACCTTGTTTGGTACTTGTGCATAGATCGACGTCTTGTCTGACATATCAGTCGATTTTGGCATGTTTTCACAGTTGAGATATCTCAGAGATATATCTGTGTTCTCACCTCATACACTATCTCCCGTTCATAGCATGTTTGAAATCAGATATTTTGTAAGGAGGGTTGCTAATGACCTATATAAGGCCGACCTAGGCTGCCTGCCAGACCGTTAGACGTACCTCCAACTAAAAACTCTGTTCATAATTTTACAGAAAACCGCAGCACTTGTAGCTTGAAGTATATTTGTACTGCGGAGCGATGGCCGAGGCTATGTTTGATTTTACATTGAAAGTTGAAAAGCCGGATGATTTATTGGTCAATGCCAACGACGATAACGGTAAACAACGCAAGAAGCGCAGAAGAAAGGCAAGGCTTACAGGCCTCAGTCAACAAAGACGTTGGGCGAACGAACGAGAGAGACATCGTACACGACGCGTGAATGATGCCATCTATGCCCTACGCGACCGTCTGCCGGATTTCCTCAATCCTCTGCACATAAAGCTCTCAAAGATGGAGACGATTTGCTTGGCAATCAGGTATATCCGTCAGTTAAAGGATATGCTTGAAGAAGACGACCGAAGCCGTAGCTCCAGTGACTTTGAAGGCATCGACACGGACCTCTCTCCACAACTCTCCAGCGATTTTTCAACAGATGGGGATTTCGAAGAATTATTCAAAATGGACACTTCATTTTTGTTGTCGAGCTCGCCGTCCTCAGAGTTTCTAGATATTGATGATACAGAAGATGTATTCTGGTGATCAAGAATTTTATTTCATATATATATAGTCCATTTTTATACAACTATAAGGACATATTCACGACGCGAACGTTCCGACCTTTCCACATTTATATATAGCTAGTTAGAGGGTGGTTGATATGTATATGAATGGCAAAACTGCGCTAAGACGAGGGCCACGATTTTATTTGATTAGTCTAATCAAACCGATCTTAAATTTTTGTCTGTGTTCGGCTTGCAAATCCCGCTGACTGGCATTCGGCTAAGCCAGATTATTCTGAGGTAAAGCCATTTGCACAATATGAAATGAGCCGACATCACATGACTCAACCTACCCCTCGAGTCAACACCGTCGTACAATGTGTACGCTACGCCTACAATGTAGGATAAGAGCAGTTTTGTCTCATACAACGAGCCCCCTTATTTAATAGACATAGAGATGCAGAGTTCCATTGGAAACCTACACGTCTTCAGTAAGGAGAGTTGCACATTTGAACTTTAGAAGTTTGCATGACACTTTAAGTGAACTCGCGCGTTCATAATGACATTCAGTCTGGTGTAAAAACGTCCAACGAACGTACTTCACGCATCGTATAGACTCTCAGCACGTCCGCCTGAATGTAACGCAAGTAATAATGGAATTTCCTCGAGTTTATGTTGAAAGCGCCTGTACATAGATCATTAAAATGACTTATTTGGATTATAGGAATTTTTTTGATAATCGAGATATTTTTAGAGATGTATTAAAAATATAAAAGAGTATCGGAAACTGGGTTTTAATCAGCTTCCACGCAAAATATTCACATTTTGCGTAGATTAGAACCCGGGTCAGAGGCTAGTCTAAATCAATAAAAGTTACGAAAGTGATATTGTGATGTGGACTCTTGATGGAAAAGTAAATATTTGCCCCCACTGTTTGTTCTCGCAATTAATATGAAAAATAATAAACACCCGTGCGATTGTAAGTATCATGCTTGTCATCCAGTGCAAATGGTACTGGTCTCGCTCGTATGATGTTTCGCATCGTTTTTGTGGTTACTTCAGAAGTTCAATAATGGGGCTTCTGTTTAGATTGTGACAAACAAACAGGACATGAAATATGTCGTGCATGTCAATCTCCTAATGTCACGCACTTTAATATTTCAGGATTTGTGTCACCGCGGGGACTGTTTCATTACCGTCTTGACATGTCTTGAACGCAAGACACGGCACTGGGTTGTTTTTAATTGCAGTTAAAATATTGAAATGACAGTCAGTATTGAGAGCATGTGTAGTGTTTTATTGCTGTAAAAATACAGAAATGACAATCAGCTCTGCATTCTGCTTTGAGTGCCGCATAGACTACGAGTGTCGCATACTGGCCCTATACTGTTGCGTCTCGAGTAAACGTCGCAGACCTGTCCTCTCAATGGGGTTCATGTTTTCTGTGTGCAAAACACAAAAACAAATTCTGAGTCATTGCTGTTTTCCTATTTTTTACTGTGCCTATATATAAACGTATGCGGAAGTCCGCATGTATAGCGGACAGTGTCTTGCGCAAAGTGCGTCATTCAAAATGCGTCATGTAAATAAAATCGGTGTTTTAGTTATTCTTTTTCGGTCCAGGGCTCTTCGATCAATCAATGAGAAGACGATCAGTCGCTGCATTTTTCATTATTCACATTTAGTTATATAAATATTTCCTATATCCTAGCTCATGGCACGTCGACGTCGCGTGTCTTGAGCGCTGATATGACGTATAGTTCTCGATTAGGTATTGTATTTCTCACTCGCAATTTTGGTAATGTCCTTTCTTGGAAATGTATTAGAGCCTATGTGGCATCCTTCCGAGTTTGGGAATTAATATCCCTTGCTTAAGTTGCATGGTAGTACGTAGTTCATGGTAAACGGTTAATTTTCTAACTTCTGGGTATGTTATATTTATGAAAAATGACGTGTACGCGATACATGCAGATCTATGTTTTCGTTGAAAGTGATGCAGGTCTCGTCAATGAAACATTCGCTATTTTTTTTTTTTAAATCAAACCTCGTAAGTCTGTATTTGCTGTTATTGTTCTGACCTCCTAGTAAGCCCAGGCAATAAGTGTCAACCTAGTATACCAAAGCGTTAATATGATGTTCACGCGATACGTCATGATAACTTTGACCCTAAGTCGCAAACAGTGTCAATTTATTTAAAATGTTTTGTGCAGTTCTGGGGCCAGTTGTTCAAAGCTAGGTTAACGCTAACTGTTCGACTTTACAAAATAAGATTTCTATTGATCCAAAAAATATTTGTGGAAAAACATGTTCAACTTCATAAACAAGCGATTAAAAAAAATTGATGTAAAAATTTGAATTAATCCAGGGTTTTGAACAACCGGCCCAAGTTCAAACTATAGTGCGAGGTTGATCTGGGCCTAGCACTTCGTTCTCATAGAGTTAGCCTAGGCCCAGGCCTTGGTTTGGCTCCGTAGTGTAAACAAGGCTCATTCAGTGAGTCATTTCTCGATTTTGGCTACACTGCTGAAAGTCACGTTACTTCCGTTAGTAAAAAGGTCGACAGCGTTTTCGTGATGGGCCTATCTTCGCTATGCGAATAATTTTCAACAACATCAGTCATCATTTCAGAAAATGGTAATGAGACGACGGAGTTTGTTTGCTGAAATTGTTCTTCTCTTATCTTGTGATTTGACGATTACCAGGCGTGCTTTGCCCAGGCGCCATGGCTACTCCGTGATATCGTCAAAAAGAAAACATTAAACTGTGATAAAATGTTGCCTATCTCTGGCAGCCATAATACCAGTCGTTTGGCATTCTATCATGATGTATTAGTAATTTTTTTACCTGTGAACAGCTAGCACAATTTGATCTAAATGATTGTCCAACTGGATGCTTTGAATCTTTTGCAATCATAACTATTACAAGTGCACAGAGTTTATGTTATGAAGGTTTTGATGATGATAAATGCAGAGATAACATGCATACTGAACAAATTAGCTCGGTTTGACTGCAAGGAAACTATTTCTCCGCAAGTCGAAATCTAATCTTTAGTCTCTCACAAGCATAGCCTGAAAATTTACCAAACTCGAGGCAATTTATACACTTAAAAATCGCATCATTTTTGGTTATTATTGCGGTGTGTGGCCATTGAGTTTTAAGGCACCCTGTGTGTTTATATTTATTCAGACAACATTTAAACAATCACGAACCATAATAGAAAGACTCCCCAAAATAAAGCAAATATTCTTGTTTGCACAGGGAGGGCATGGTTAAGTGGAAATGAACTAATTGGTGAAAACAATGTGTAATTTCGTTTATTCAAGTTTGTCATTAAACTTTGATGATTTGCACAAGATCGGAACTCAATTGTCTCACGGTTTGTCGTCCAAAATGCTTCGCCCTTGCACGTTACTTTCTGTATAACAATATACCTCATTTAAGTACTTTATTGCATGGTAATTGTGAGACCAACAGCACTACTATAATGGACGACAGCTTGACACCCTCGGCAAGGTGTAAAATGGGCTCTGGGTGCAAGGATGTATGTACTGTATGCATGCAGAAGGTGCAAAATCCCCTAATTAAACGTGTCATCAGTGTGGCTTAACCATGTCATGACCCCTGCTATTAGTTTAAAGGGTTCTGATATAAGTAATACACTTAATCATCTCAATTTGGAACACAATCGACTTCTGTTACCAAAAGAAGACTTCCCAGCAGGTTTTTTCCATGTTTTCATGAGTAATCACGTCGAATACTAACGTTGGTATGACTTAAGGCGGTTTTCCACTAGGCGGAATTTTTCGATCGAACGAAATTTTTTGCTCAATTTTCTTTTCAATTGTGGTCGGTCAAGCGAATCCGCTTCGGTCGACTTCTCACAATTGAAAAGAAAATTGAGCGAAAAATTTCGTTCGATCGAAAAATTCCGCCTAGTGGAAAACCGCCTTAATCCCTTGGAAGCCAACTGAACAAAGCTTTTAGTAGGCGGTGATTTTAGGTCGGGGAATGTGAAATGTTTGATCAGGAAGTGTGCGACCATTTTTAGTTACATTTAGCTGTGCTTGTAAGTGCATACCCAGGAGTTCGGTCGATTTACCCAGCACAGTGCTTTCACACCGTACCTTCACATTGCCTCATATACAATGGAAAAATACACCGAGATTAAATCGACAACTTGGCAACCTCGTATCCAGGGTACTTTTTCTCCACCCCAATGTGGGGGCAAAACGCCCTGGATGCGGGGTTAACAACTTGTGAATTGAAATCAGTGAATACAATGCAAATTACTTATAGGGCCCCTTATACTGTTAGTGCTCTTTCCAGGAGTTTCCAACGTCTGTCTGACCGACTGAATATACTTTTTATTTAGAAAAAGTTAATATGGAGAAGTGCACTCAAGGCAGATAAACTCAGCCACTCCGGCAGTTACTTCAGTCACTAGAACTGGTTGGTTTGACATCAGGTGACTGATTGATAGATCCCTTAAGTAAATAGTCTATTATATATTTTTTTTTTGTCAAGCATCTTACTATCGGATGATCAAATTGATAGATCCCTCAAGTAAATAGTCTATCAGTATATAATTTTTTTCGCCAAGCATTTTACTATCGGATGATCAACAACCACAAAGAATAAAAGAATCCTTTAAGAAAAATCTGGAGCAATATTTGATAGAGAGATGATGTGACAGGTCACGCATGCGAGACCGTGATGTATGAGCGATCCTCAGTTCCATAATCCCATTGCGTATACTTATGTATTATGTATACATGCGTATATGCTATATACTAAAAGAGGCCCACTGTTGTTTTTGTTGAAGGGCTCTACGAATACATAGTCAGTATTAACTTATATTATTAGCTATCATATATCGTTATATACATTATATACACTTAAGAAATAGAAAACATTCGAGTTTCTATACAGTTATAGAAACACGCATGGGAGTTTGGGAGGACGAGAAATAATCAATTCGAGTTTTCCAAACTCCCACAAGTGTTTCTATAACTGTAGAGAAACACAGGAAAAAATTGTACAGATATTATAATTCGATTCAATTACAAAATCTCATTGAATCGCTTCGCTTGTCTAGTTCGGCGGGAAAATTCCTATGTTTCTATACAGTTTTAGTATACACCCGACTATTGTCTATTACAAATCCTACATTCTGATTGGCTACTCAACCATTGTCTATTCGTGATGGTGAACGTTTGGGAAAAATTCTCTCGCGCGACCGTATAAAATTGAATTAATTCAATTATTTTTCGGTGTAATTGCGGTGTATCGATTATTTTCTCGAAATTAATATATTTAGGTACAGGGTGTGTACTAAAACAATTAGACAACTCGCCTTCGTTGTCTAATTGTTAAATAGAAACACGCTTCTTCACCAATCAGCACGCGCGTACTATGAATGTTATATTATAATATAATTTATTTGCTTTTAATGTGAAACTGGGTGAAATAGAAATGTTTTCACCTCTTCCCCCGCCTTTTTATTCCTTGCTTAGTTCTTGTGATTATTTCGGCTGAAAATAGTAACTAATTCTTTGAACCAAAATAGATCAAGCCAAAATGATTCACACTGAAATTACAGTAAAAATTAATTTCGATCGGCTACATCTTAGACTTTAATTAAACAAATCTTCACCATCAAAGAAACTTTGTATGGAACAAGTGATGTTTACTGAATTTATTACGTTCAATGAACGTTGTACCGTGCCTGTGGAAAAATAATTTGTTTATCATTGAAATGCACATTGCAAACTGCAGAAATATACTGATTACTGCAGATTACCAGATTGTGAAATATACCAGTGGTTTCGGACACACGTATATAGACACTATAGTCCAAGTAATGCGCCATTCGTTTGAAGTAGTTGATCCTCAGCCCACTTGAACATGATTAATTATACCTATATGAAAAGGATTGACAAATTTGGTCACAAAAATATTTTCATCTATGCATGGAGGTGGAAATTTATAAAAGCATTTAAAACTATAAAGATGGTGTCGCGTTGGCCAAACGTACCTGATATTAAATGCTAAACCATACCTGCGTGGTAAATACTCATTCGGTATAAGAGTCTGACTACAACCCAGATCAATGCCAATTCGTGCGATGCAACAGATTTGTTTGGCTATTAATGGCAGATATATGGGTCTGCATGCTCTCCTGATTTGGGATGATTTAAAACTTTGAATCCTACAGATACCGTGTAAGCTAGAAAGCCCATGCATAGACAACGAGTAAAATATTACAATTGTTCGTTGTGTTCACCCGTGACAATTTGTGATATTGTCCCTCGGGCGATAAAATTGATATCACCTCACCCATCATGTGATAACCTATACATACATGTATAGAATATTTCGAAAATACGAGTAAAATCCGTGTAGTCAATGTACGATCACTTTCACAACCTGAATATATAGTTGTTTGGAGCCTGTTGCACATCTGTTGGTAATTTAGGATGATTTATTCCATGCACGTCCTCTAGAAATTCAGTCGTACAACCTTCCCGTGAACTACTGGTCGTGTGCATGCGCAATAGGTGGGCATGCAATTTTACTCACTGATTTACTCTTTGGTGTGCTGGTTCGCCTACGGCTATAGTTCGGATTTTCGAGTCTCCGCCTAAATATACAACATTATGTGTGTAAGTTTGAAGTTTCATTCCGTGAAGTTGTTTACACCATGCAGAGTCCGGTTGTATCAAGCCCGTTTAGCTTAAACGGTGGATAAGTTCAAAAGAGGGGCCGGTTGTTCGAAAGGCGCTTAGCTTAAACGGTAGATAAGTTCAAAATGGAAAACAAAATGGTCTATTTATTGAACAACTGAGCTGAAAGATTTCGATGTAAATAGTTCAATTGTCAATGAAAGTACATATTAAATGCATTCATTGGAAGTTCAGTCATTCCTAAGATCTATTGAAGTATTTTTAAACTTTGGCTTATCCACCGTTTAACCTAAACGCCTTTCGAACAACCGGCCCCAGAAAGCAAGTCTGCCGTTTTATTCAATAAGCGAACTAACTGATGTTTTTAACCTTAGTACAAAGATACTGTTTACAACTACATATTCAGCGCATAATATTCAAGTTGACTCATTCAAGAGGGATGTAAAAGTGTTATTTAATTTTGACTTATCCACCGTTTAAGCTAAACGGGCTTGATACAACCAGCCCCTGTACAACCGCGCAAGATCCGTTTACTGATACGTATTTATACGCGATGTACAATTGAACGATATCTTCAACAATAACTGCAGCAATAATTTGGATAACTGATTTCCTGTATATTCTAGCTGAGGGTAAATTCCCACTCATGTTCATTTAGCAGTATGACTGAGAAATAACGGTCCAGTTAATTTGGATAAAATGCTCAATATCAAGCAGTCAGTCAGGTGGAGATACCATTATGCAATGACTATACACACTCCGACTCGGTCGCTAGTATCAGTTAGCATTTTAGAATGCAGGATAGAAATACTGTACGAATTCGCATTTACAAGCTATATATCTGTCGTCCCTAGCTGAATCAATATCATTTTCGATCTTCAATTACCTTCGGTGCAAAATCCCACCATGCCAGATTCTGAATTTCCCACAGAAATTTAACATGCTGAGCCATATTTTTAATTAGACTAATCATGAATCCATGCATGGGACTATATATGCATGAGATCGGGAACGTCTATTTCAACAGTGGTTCTTCTAAAGTCTTCCCGCGGTAGTACAGATATCAGTAGGACCAAAAGGAGGGATGATGACTCTGTCAATGGTGTACCTAGGACGAATTTATCAATTTAAAATAATCAGGCAATATCCTGAAGGTATGGTTGAAATTATGGCAAGCAATAGTTGTGGTAAGATTAGTTTATTGTTTGGACTATATATTAAACGGTTTGATTTGTGAGTTGTAAAAAGGATACCCATTTGTATTGCCGTATGCACCACAACAATGCTGTGTTTTGGATATTATTGTATCGATTTAAAGCTGCTGAAGAATAGACTCTTTCCCCAAACTATATGATTAAGACACAAAGACTTACAAAGTATTTTAGTTTAGACGGGTTTTAGGAGTTTCTTCGTGCAATAAATGATCAAAAATCGTTGCAAGTATAAATGATTTTAAAACGTCGAAATATATCGATGATGTGGCGGCCGCCTGAACTTAATCTGTATCGCTATGAACCGTGACGAACAGCGAAATAAATGTTTCAGTTAAGTTATGTACCGAGAGATATACGTATCAATATTGAGACGGGTTTCCACAGTTCCACTAGGCGGAATTTGAAGGTGGGGCTAAAATGTGTTCGTGATACTACTAAAGTCACCAGATAGGATGTTCTCGTACATGGGTGGAGGGTGACTCAAGTCTTCTTGTTAAGAAAGGAGTTCGCTGTAAGTGAAGAAGGAATACATTGATCCATAATGCGATCGAAGAAAATATATTTCAAGGGCATCACAGTCTTAGAAGAATATGTATAGGCTACAGAGAAAAAAACTAAATTTAACGAGTAGGTTGCAATGGCGTTACTATTACGGGCTCAGGCTGGACTGGACTGGACTGAGTCTCCTGGCCTAAGGCAGCCGCCTGATTAGACTGGATTTACTAGAATCAGCCAATCAGGTTCAGTATTTAAGGTTATTAGGGGCCTCCAGACTTGGTGTTACGCCACTGATTGCCGGCCGTATCGATAATAATAACTTTTATATCAAATATTACTCTCTTTTTTTTTTAATATTCATACTGATGTATATACTGTGACGGCAAGACGCGACTAAATTTGAATATATTCATGCTAAACCTTTAAGCAGAAATCCGATTATTAATGTCATCAAATTCGGAACAGCAAAATGTGACTCAGCATTAAAAAAACTCGCCGGCCTCACGCAAATAAGTACTTATCAGCTCAATATATAGCTGCATGAATTAATTATTAAATATACATGCATTCGGGGGTGATCATTTCAGTTGAAAGCTTTCAATACTTTGAAAACCATAGCATATAGCTTTAGCATATAGCTATTTAAGGCGCAATGAAAATCCGTAGTTTCGTGGATATAGCAGATATATTAAACATATTCTCGCGATTAATTAAATTTTTATTGCCTTTAAAATTAAAGTTTAATATATTTGTATATGAGTTTAAGCTGCAAAGCTATATCAATATAGCCTCTAATTGCCTTCATACAAAATTCATAAATTTTCCGTATTTGTTTGATCATAAGTATATCCCAGCTGATGGCTTTCCCACCGCAGGAACGGCTTGGCTTCAAAACGTTGATTTAATTTCACTTATTGATACTTATCTTTGTTCTCCGTGATCGATATTTCCAAAGAGGACTGAAATTATCACCTTTTCATTCATACTTTGATACTCAAGAAATTATTCCATTCTCTTCAGTGACGGTTGCTGAAAAACTAAATTCAGTTAGTGTTGCGTGTTAACGGTGAATTTCGAAAGTAGATTTCTCAGTATCAATTTATCGCACCTCCCGCGAAAAGTAATTTTTCACTAGATTCTTTAATAAGCTACAGCGTATGTTCTGATTACGTCATCTGTGTGATCTTTCCTATTTCTTTCAATGGCTGAATGTGGATACAAATATTTCAACTCCTTGACTTCTGTCATAGAAAACAAAAATTTGAGAATTAATCAGTTATTCGATCATCATTTGGTATGCTCTAGTATACTTTAACTCCGTTTCATATTTCTACCTGCATGTGTGCATCTTAGGAATAATATGACTGTCAGTAGCGTATTTCGTGAATGAATTACTGAACTCCTCGTTATTTCACTATCGTCCCGTACAGTTTCATATAAAATACTGTAATTGTACTGTAATTATACTCTAATTTTGTGTTTGACAATGCCATTGCTTCGCTAGTGAGTTCTTTTAACTCGCGCTCATTCCTGCTGGTTTTATATGAGCTGGCAACATGCTTCACATTCAAAAACCACTGTTTCACGAAGCTAGTTTAAAGCTACTGTGGTTTCTGCATAATATACGAAGTGAAAATCGTACTTTTTCCCCGGAAATTTACGTATGAAATCAAGCCTTCAATATAAAATAGAGAAGAACACTAGAACACCACATTCATTAAAAGTGTGTTATCTATTCACTTGGAATCAATTTTCTTTGTTCTTGCAATTAAATACGGTTATATACAACATCTGAACATCATGCAGATTTCAGAATGTATCATAAACTTCCGTCCAAAACACAAACTATCACATATGTGAAATTCTCACGCTCGTTGACTCAGGTCAGCTGTGTTACTTTGTGTAAGCACACTACTTGTGAACCAAACAACAATGTTTACATTGAATAGCGATTTCTCTAATTTTGATAACTTCCCGGGCAATATACAAATTAAAAGAAAAAGACATGAACGTGAAACTAAAGCTGGGCACAGTTGCGTTTATAAACGACTCATTCCATCTATATATATAACAGATCAATAAAAATCTATTTCCGTATAATATGGGGCGATACCTTCGGTGATTGGGTACTTGGCACATCAATGAGGGCCCCCAAATGTCAACGATAGCCCTGAATGACGCGGTCTGCAAATCAGAACACCCCACGTACAAGAAACGTAAAACTGGCAGAATACACACAGGGTTTATCTGAATATTCCATGAGATTAATTTGGTATATCTAGAATGGCATCCCAGTGATCCTTTAGCCTGGACGCTCTAGAACTTTGGTGCCAAATGCACTCGATCGACCTTTGTACCTGACACATAGCTGAAAGAAGTTGACTTAACCCCAATGCCCCGACTTTTTAAGATGATTTGTCCCACTTGGAGCACTTGGATACGTTATCGGTTTCGTTGAATAGGATTTTGGGTAACGTTGGATGACGATGAATTCGGGTTTTACATGCGGACAATTCTTTGGAATATCGCAACTAGACGTTTTAGAAATTTGGAGATCTGATAATCATATCTGCATGACCTTGTCCTGTCATTTCGATTTTTCTATCCCATCAAGCAGAAGTTTCATGACTTCTTGACAAATCTAGTCAGGTTAGACCTTTTGCGTTTGTTGAAGTTTTTATTCCATTATTCGGCAACGATTTTGACGTTAAAAACTATGCAGTGTCGTCGTCGTCATGCAATAAAAAGCAAGGTTATTTTATTACATGTATCTAACCGGTCTCAGTTGCTCCCTTCTCCAGAACACATTGGCGCATGCGGGTAATCAAGGCTGCCCGCATTCCTTCATGACTTGCGGAATTTGGGCCGGGGTAAGTAGCCAACTAATATAGTAGATGTGTAGCCTTCATGGTGAAAATTATTGATTCAATCCCCGGCGAATGGAACAATCTGAGCTTCAACATCAGCAAGGGCACGTGTACATTTTTTAAAATGCAGAGAGTGGGGGAGGGCTAGAGTTAACTAGACCGAAAACACGAATACTGACACTTTATATATTATATAGCATTTTAGACTTATATGGGATAAAAATATCATAGAATATTTTAAAGCTTTTTCCTCTTAGGACTAAAGTAACCCAGGGAATTATAGGTATCTTGATGGCTTGGGAAAATGTTTATTTTGTAGTCTGTATTTTGAAACTTGAATTTTCTAACTATTCTGAAAGTTTTATCATTATAGTTTATTTGAATCAATTCTGACAAACAATCAGTGCCGTAAAACAGGCTAAAAAGGATTAGAAGCCTCCTTTATTATACTATATATCCCTTACTACTGTTCCATGTAAACTCTCGGAATGTCAGTTGTATTTCTCATTAATGAGCATCCCCCCCCTCATAGTGAACCACTCGCAGGCAACTGTCACTGGCCAGTGCCATAGATTAGGCATTTTACTATTTTTACTATTATTCCTATTATTTGTGAGGAAATGATAGATATACCAAAAAACAAAATGGTAATAGTTCATGGTTAAACGTTTAGCAAAACAAATGTACGAAGGTAGTTGAGAAACACAATTAACTAAACCGTGTGCGTGACATTTAAGCTTGCCTGTCGGAAAGATTATCCGAAACATACTAAAAGTATATTTGCTTGTTTCTTTTCTGTTTCATCTTTACTTCTTTTGAGCGCGGTTCATCAAAAAACATTTCAATTTCCGGCCTGTCTTGAGAGGTTGGAATTTGGTAAGACACAAGTAGCTAGGCCTCATTTCCTTTATACACGCGTGTGTTTCGCGATTTATTTTTCAATTTTTAGGTTAGGGACAGCTTAACATCCATTTTACAGCCATTTTCCCTTTAAACTAAAATGTTCATTTATTTATTGAACAATAAGATGCTTAATTGAATTAAAAACATGATCAGTTGCTCACTATAAATTTGGCGTAAAAAAAGGCAGCACAGATGGAAAGCTGTGATTTCCATTCATGGACCTAGCCAGATTTTTGTAAACATAAATATATTCGGTACATATACAATAACGGTCACTGTCCATGGTCGATATTGGGTCGGGTTTAGGATTTGAATGTTGTTGTTCTGTAAGAATCTGGGGTAAAACCTGGAAGAACTAACAATTGGACATTTTTAACAGCCATTAAGCAATAAACAGTTACGCGAACGATTAAATTTACCATCCAGAAGCAGCTGTTTTTATTGTTCGAATGTCTTCGAATGTCTTCGAAGGGCTATTTCTGTGATAATAGTGCTAATTGGACGCATGCGCAGATCCATCGTATGATTGTGTTCATTTTCCCTTGGTCTGATGCGAGCAAACTCGATTTACGGAATCACAGCGTGTTTATTTATCCAACAATGAACTTGTTTTGAACCCTTTTACGATCGTCTCCCCATTCTACTCGACACTTGAATAATTCATTAAGTCAAATGGCAAGCACTTTGTCTAAATGAAGAAGAAGTGAAGAGGACTCTTACGGACTGTTGTTGGGGTAACTGCATCCTTTCATTTATTAATTTGTTATTTTGGTTTGTTTCTCCACACGGAGAGTCTAATTGAATGATCCTCGATGTGAAACGCACGTGTACGAATGAATGAACTAAGGTGAAGTACAATTGGGCGTTTCTCTTGGGGTTTACTAAACATTAAAAGAAGCTTTGAAAGGATACATCAATGCTATTGACATTGCGAAGAGACAATGCATCGAACATAAACCTTAATTAACTTTAAACTATTTGCCGTACAATGCTGCAACGAATTTCCCTCGCTTGAGCTGGGAAACTGGCTGGATTTTTGGGGACCCAATTATGGAAATACCTCAAATTCCAACGCATTGAAGTGCAAAAAACTGCGTTTTGCTGAGAAAAATGCGCCGAGTTTGGCAAGATTTCTTGAGTTCGTCACATGTTTAAGCTCATTATCATTCAAAATTTATTTTATGTGGCTAGAACATCTGCTAAGTCTATTTGAATTTGCTCAAACAAAGGAAACCTAATGCCTCGAACGGCGTGGCTGTATGTGCTCAATGAAAACCTACCCATTCATGCCACGTTGTGTTCCGGGTTACAAGCCTAAGCAACGCATTTAGGCACACGAGTTTAACTCAGAGATAAACACCTATATATAATATAGACAATATAAAAGTTTATATACAGCCTAGCAGAACATTTCAGGATAATTTCTTAAGAGGCAATATAATAATGGCCGTTAGCGTTTTGAGGCGATTGCAAGCTGTGTAATTAGAAAACGGTCCAGACAAAAAAGAGCACATGCTAAAATTTTCCCAACATTTATTCGTGAGAAAACGTGCTTGACATTTCGCTGCCAAGCACTGCTTTGAAGAACAGTTTCTTTATGATCAGTCTTCGAATATGCCTTATAATTTTGTACTTACTGAAGCAATTGCATCTTTGCAATTTTCCTTTTTAATATTTTTTTCATTGTCATGCTGATGTTGCCCTGAAGCTATTCCATGCTCGAAAAAATTACAACGGCCAGGGATTTAAAATTTTTCCAAATATAATAAATGGATTTGGGGTGGTTCGGTTTTTAAAAGGGTCTCAAAAAAATTGGAATTTAATCTTGCCTTTTGTTACACGCCTTAAGACAATGGGCAATAGGCTGACCTTATAAGTAGGGTTTCCAAGACCTCCTAGCTCGACACTACACGTGGGATCTGTGCATAAACTTGGTTTATTTTGATCTGTGTACATGCAACTCTATTATAATGAGAACGCTTTGTGATATATTAATAGTACACAAACATCGCTAATATTACTCGTGTTTTTATCACAAGGAGTGAATAGGGCGAAACTGATAGCGATATGGACAGTTGTACAAACTTAATTTACCCATTAATTTTTTTTTCTCTTTTTCTCGTGTGTTTTATTGTGTGCTGGGAAGAGCAATATAGCACAGTGACGCCATATGGTACACATACGATTATCAAGAGTTAAGTCAGTTAAACTTTAGGTAAAGAGCTGCGATTATTTATTAATCTACAAAATATGATGTTCTTTTTATTACATTGTAGGCCATTTCCAATTGGTACAATGCTTTTCGAATGCCCTCTCGCTTTACGCAATTTAACAAATCACCTTGTGAATGTTTTATCCCGAACAGGACAGGCTGTGGCAGGTGAAACAGTATGTAGTTGGACATAACAAGTTTTTCGTTCTACACCTTTGATTGCAAATGGCGTCATTATCATGTAATTTGTGACTTATTTCCAAAGTGTACAACGTGAAAACAGCCGGGGATAAGGGAAACGTTCAACAGAAGAAGAAAAGCAATAACCACAACCTGTTTACAAAATTGCTTTAATAAAAATCTATCGCCTTCGCTACAAAATATCCTCGAGTGTACATATTTAAAATTATACATTAGTATATATACTGATCTAAACAGTGTTTTTATGATATCCTATGTGAGAAAAAACATCATAATATCGCTAGAAAGCATTAATATTCAATTTGAAACGAAGCAGAACAAGTGTTATTTCGTCTCGGGTCTTCGGGTGTCCACACTTTCGCAGTCATGATCGTGTTTTGCCTGGATTTTGATTTGTCTGTCCACGATAGCGAATGTCCCCGTAAAGGTGGTAGTCCGTATTCATTCGGTACATCTGAGAAATGAAGAAACAAGCTTAGAATTGTGATTATGAGCTTCGTTGATTTGAGACTTCAAACCAGCCATGTCCCAACACTTTCATCGAACATTGTTGAATAACTAATTACATTCAACCGCGCGGATTTCGTAGATTGAAAAAAGCGACACCGGTAAATCAGAATGATATCATACAAAGGAGTCTCAAATGATATCATATACAAAGTCTCAAACGTTTTCAATAACCGCGTGCTTGTACAAAATCATGTTTTGCAAAACAACTACGATTCTGTGTTTTACTGCAAACATTACAGTCTATATATATATATATACACTGACATGACAACATTACGATTTAAACTACACTTTTCAATTATAAACGGCCTAAACATACCAAAATAATAGCATAAAGGCGTCGGGCAAAGCAGGAACTTCAAATGAACATTCTCCTCTTACCTAAACCTTGATGACGAATCATAATTTTCTTCTGTTTTTCGATCCGAGGTCGGCTGCATAGTTTCTCATTGTGTCGAACATCAGAGTTTATGATATCGGAGAGAAAACCGATATATCCAATAGCTAAACGTAAAGTGTCCACTTTCGAGAGTCTCTTCTCGTAGGGTAATGTGGGAATATGATGACGAAGGCCCTCGAATGCCTCGTTGATACTCTGCATACGTTTTCTCTCTCTCATATTCGCTGCATGTCTTTGAACGACTGGCTCTCGTATTCCGCCACTGGTGGATTTGCGTTTTCTGCGTCTCTTACAATTTGTTAAATTGTCCATAAATTGTCCACTTAGGTTGGATTCTTTAAAAATGGTTGTCGTGCAATTCATTTCGCTCCCGGTGTAATTCACTCGTCCGGTCTTTAGGAAAACTCGGCAAACTGATGAACTAGCACGGGTGATACGCAATGCTCTTTTTATCGCTGCGAGGCGAGCTCGTTAGCCAATCAGCGAGCCGAGACCTCGGAAACGAGACTGCACGACAAATAACCAATTCATTTTCCATTGTCCAAAGCCGATAAAACGAAATGCTTTAATGATATACATTACGTGAATTTCTTCACAAAAGCGGGATTAGTAAATGACTTTATGTTAAGCGATGTTTAAATAGGAACTTATAATTCAAACATATAGAACAAAATATCAAGCAAACTTTTATATAGCTGAAAGACACGAGAACATTTTGACCTCGACTCTATAAGTATAAATGGTTATTTGTGTATTTACTTTTTGTATGCAAATCAGACTCAAGTTTTGTACGTACAATATTTTAATATCTTCCAATTTGTTCGTATTTATAAAATTATAACTCCGGTGCATGGATATAGCAGCTGGTCGGTTAGTCGGTTCTGCCTTTATATTTACACCAAACAAGCCTCTCTAGTTCTGTTTGTCGATTTAAATATATCCGATACATGCAAACTTTACACACTGTTAATGAATTGAAATATCGATTTTCAATTAGCACACAAATGAATGAATTGATTTAATTCAACCCACTACCTGTCACTGTTATGCAGATTTGACTGAGTATATCCTGTCGACAAACGCTATACATATGACTATATAAGCCGATAAATTCTATCAACTAGGAAAGATATAGTATGATTTAAACATCTACACAACTGCATATCTGCATGAAGAATCTGTTCACTGGCTTTTGATTTTTGCCATTCTGGCGTGAAATGAGCGCTGTATATATTAATTGTTTAGTTTGTGCAATTCACTCAGCGGGGATGTGGAAGGAATTTTGAGTTATTAAAACACAATTAAGGGTGAAGATATATCGTTTATGTAACACTTAAAGTCCATGCACCACGGGCCGATTCGTTATTTCGTTTCATATACGGACGCCGATACAACGAAGAAATATACGGCTTTAAGAGTTTGTTAAACCTTAATAATTACTTTCATTTATCGTGGGGTAATCCAATACTCCCCATAGTCGTTTTGTTGTTTAATCTTACAGCTCCCTGCCTGCTAGGCCAATGTCAATTAAAACCGAATTTGAATGACGCGATTCATGCTGCTCGAAAATAAATTCAAACTGGACAATTCGTTTTTACGTCAGTCGATTGAAATGATAATTTCATCTTTATACGGTATAATCCATGCTTTCATTCAAATTTGATTAACCAAAGACAAAAATTCTAGGCTTTTTCTTGAGATATTTGGCAGTAGACAAGCGACAAAGGTTTTTTCACCTACATTGCGTTGAATGGCGCTAAAAGTAAAAGTGCATGTCGCTGCGTGATAATCAGGTTAAAGTTAGACTTCAGAAGTTCAGGAATAGCTGACTTTTAGAGAATATTAGGAACACACACTGTGTTATCAGACGAACTCTCCTAACAAAGACCTTCAGACTAAACCACGGAGAGGTTTTTCTGCGTATTTTACGCAGTTTCATGGTTTTAACAACATTTGCTTGATGAGAAGAAATTCGATGACGCTTATTTGATAGCAGCGTTATTTCTCAAAACGATTTACCAGTCACGGAGTTACCCTCTAATATTAATGCTCCCAAATCCGATTAATATATTTTCCGAACAGAAACAAGAACATGGTTATCAGAAGTGCTAAACCACGTAACGGAAGAGCTTCAAAGAGTAGCGTGTTTGAGTTGTTTCCATGCAATTAAAACTGTGTGTTCAAATGCTTTATTAGTACAAGATGTAATTGTCGGTCAGTTGGGTGTTTCGGTAAGAATTTAAATAATAGAAATACTAGCTACTATAGTGGTATTGACATTTATCTTGGCGTATGTGGCTGGAATTCTATGATTGTATCATATAAATGAAATTAAAAATATTTCATTTGCTTACATAGTTCCTATCACTATAGATACATTAAATTTAACCACCTTGTATAAAATTCAAACAAAAGCAATCTGCATTGTGACTATCAAAGGCTACGAGTCAAAAAGCTGAATAATTAAATTTAACAGTACATTAGATTTTCATAAAAATGATTTATAGATCGTTTCGAACACGTTTTCAATAAGAAACTGAGACGCGCTTTGTCCTAGTAGTCAACGTATTTATCTTTTGAGCACGGTTTTCGGTACAGTTTTTGTTGAGATCGTAGCGGTATTGAATGCTCATGTTTAAATTATCTCTTCAATCTATTTGCGTTTCTTAATTAATATATTCACATAAGATTTTAATTACGCGAGAGTGACGCATATTAATTATTTATGTCACAGTGTAAGTATTGCACGTATAAATACATATTGTCATTATAATAGTTTTTTAAATAAAACATCAACTGATTGCTTGTGCTTGAGGCCAACAACAAGTATGGGTAACCCTGGATTTGTTATATATATATACAGTCCAGCGGAGATCACAGTATAACGATATTCCTGTAAAATACTGGTGAAGGCAAATAGCGAAATGGTGAGTTGCACAATATCTTGACCCTATTAATGGTTAAGCTGATCATCAGTTATCCTAAGAATTTTTCAAAAGATTGGAAAGAGTGATCAGCAAAAAGAATGATGCAGATTATTTGCATCGCAGCACCCAAACTGAGTGGGTCACTGGTGTGTGTCCCAGAGAAGACCGGGTGTTAATTTACCCCCTCAGTATTTGCTAGCGTGATATACGTGTAATACACAGATAAGAGTCTAGGCTAGAAAATTTCAAGTTGGACTAATTTATCTGCCTCTTTATCGAGGCTCCAAAGAGGGCTTAAAGGCTTTGTAAACTTCAACTGCATTCATTTGGTGAATGAAGTTAAATCAGGGAAATATTGCTTTCTGTTTGACATTGGGCAGGTTGCAGCTTGAACGCAAATTTGATAAAAAGAAAAAAAACCCAGCTAAATTCTTAATCTTGGTGGCAAACAACGACATCACTTGCTATCGAGGAAAAAATCGCCAGACCTGAAGAAACAAGTGAGGCGTATGTCACCATCGGTCTGTTGAAATATGAAGAGCACCCAGAAGATAAATTCAGAATTACTTTAGAGAGAACATTTCGCAATTTCAACAATTCGCAGAAAGCAACTAATTCGGCGCTATCACATCTAAATAGCTGAAAGAATTTTAAAATCGTTCTCTTTCGGGCACCATGATTGAAGACGAATTGTAAAAATTTTAGGCAAATTATCCTTTCTGTTTCGGGCAACATGAAGTAGTTCAAAGTTTAATCAAGAAACCGCTGCTCATATTTTGTGAATCTTGGTGATTCATTTATGGTCATTCATCACAAAAATGATTTATTGATTTGGTCGAATCTGATCATCTTTATGTAATATTATAAATACCAAAATATCTGATCTGTCAATGAATAACTTCAATGTATTGATCGTCATTTTTATTTCACTATCCTGTTATGGGACGGTGTTATCTTGGGATAATATTGATTTAGAATTATTTGATTTGGTTGAAGACGTAAGGACCAATTTCTATGAAGTATTAGGAGTACCAAAGGTCAGTTTTTAAGTGCTTGAATTTATTATCAACACAAATAAAACTTACTTTTCTTATAAGTTGTAGGTGAAGTATGTCCTTGGTAATGTATACACAGTTTTAAAAAATAGCTAGTACATTTACAAGGACAGGAAGTCTTTAAGTGATTTTTGATTTATGCATACACAGTGTCATTGTAACTTGCTTAGACCTTTCTTTGTATTTGTGTTTCTTTGTATACTATTTCCCAAGAAGTATTTGCACGAAATGTGTCAAGCAGACCTTTTTTAAAGGGGTTCCTTGGAAACATGAAAATGTTTTTTATTTTACCAAAATGTCTTCAAATTGTACATGTGCAGCATATGCTGTTTTTTGACTAAAACCTAATATTTTATTTCTAGAGTGATTACACACATAATGCTAGTTGAAGGTGCTCCACCACATGTACTATAAAATGTTTCACTCTTCCAGGATGCAAGTGCTGCAGAGATACGGAGAGCATATCGCAAATTGTCCCTCCATTTACATCCTGACAGAAGCGATGATCCTACATCTGAAGAAAAATTTCGCCAGGTGAGAATACGTACAATGCATGTGTTTTATGGGCAAATTGGTGTGTTAACACAGACATTGTTTAATAGAGTTATAAATTTTCCTTGAAATGTTGGTTTTAAATTAAGCAGTTGTGAAATACAACTTTGCATTCTTTCCTACCTTTTGAGTCTACAACCCTTCAGTGCCATGCAGCCATAGTTCGCAAATTCTCTTAAATGGGTTTTGTATGTATGCCAATTTTATTAAAGTGCTACTGAAATGAAATTTTGGGTACTTTTTTTATGTCCACTACAATAAGGTAAGGTTTCGAATTAAATTAAATTGAATTAAAATTGCGTTTTGGTGTTTGTTATGTAGCTTGTTGCTGTTTCAGAGGTTTTAAAGGATGAGGAAAAACGAAAAAGGTCAGAAAGGCCCAGCTTCTAGGGCAAACATTAAGCATTTATTTACTATGATCACAAATTTGATTTTCCTCTTTTTTCATTGGGTCATTTTCTGTCATGTCACAAAGATGACTCTCACTGTGCCACCTCTCTATCAAATGTGGTGTAATAACTGCCTAAAATAGACAAAAACACCTCTCACTGTTTTGGCTCAAAGGCCTTCATTAGGAGGGGTGCCAACCTTGTACGCAGAGTTTTATTACCTACCATACTCTCCTGACAGTTGCAAAACGTTGAGGAGACTTTGTTGTTGGATGACGGATAAAGTTGTTAGACAATGCATTCGCGTTGTTCCAGGTGTATATTTGAATGTTCCCACATTGTGTTCTACTCCCTTACAGAAGTGCAACAATCTTTGGAAGGAAAGTGTGCACTCACTGTCATTAGATATAACATAAACTTATGTGTTGCAAAGCTCTGTAATTCATATTATTTGTTTCAGATATGACATCATATTACGAGATGGTTTGCCTGATTGGCGGCAACCAGTGTTTTATTATCGACGTGTACGAAAAATGGGCTTTTTGGAATTTTTGCTTTTCATATTTGTTATTTTCACTATTGGACATTTCATCATTGCATGGTCCATATACCTGGAACGAAAGTTTGAGTTGGTTAGTTTCCTACATTGTTTACAACGATTCTCCATTGATCTAGAGAGGCCAGAATTTCTCGAAAGGTTTTGAAATTCAAACTGAGCATTAGAAATTTTATTAGTATATACTGTAGATTGTAGTACTGTAACACACATACAGTACCTGTGTCCTCAAATGGCTATTGTCTATTGTAACAAGAACTTCTAGAAGAGTTAAACTGTTGAAAGGGATTTTAAGTGTTTCCATAAATTCAGGATGAAGTATTGACCTCGTTTAAGAAGAAAAAAGAGAAAAGAAATAGAAAACTGTTGAAGCAGGGAGCTGTAGTTGATGATGTTCAAATCGAAGATATTTTAGGTAAATAATAGACCTTTATCAGTTTCTCAGAAATAACATGAAACGCGGAAAGTCTGATGTTACCAAAGTTTCATTGTCTCCGCAGAACTAACGAGCCAATCAAACTTTGTGCCACATCAAACTTTCTCTAAAAACTTTCTCTAAATGCTCAGTTTCATGCAGACCGTCAATCTAGTTACTCAACCCCAGTATTTTCATTGCGTACTAATGCTTGTAGATATCTTATTAATTTCTATTGCCTCACTTCTCATGGTGGGATGGACAGCCGGATGTTTAGTTATAAGTCAGATGCCAAAGATATTTGTACCCGATAGGTTGACTCATTTTGTTTTATCGGTGGTTTTGCAGACGAAGAAGGAGTGCGTAAGCCAACATTCTGGGATCTTTTGCCGTTTGTTCTTTATCGATTAATTGTGTCGAGCATTCAACAAGCTCGGCTGAGAAGAGAGTTTGCCAGACAAGAGAAAATGAGACAAAAATTACTGAAAGAAGAGGAGGAAAGAGAACGAGAAAGAGAATTAGGTACATGTATAACCACTGTTTATATAACGGTATTATCTCTTTAACCCCCTTCTCAAGCAAGCCCCGTCTCCAATATGTATGTTGTCTTCTCTCTCAAGAGATTATAAACCAACGAGAGGTTAATAGAATACAATATGTTCTTCTTTTATGTTTTCAGAAAACTCTTTAAAACCGAAGCCACGTCGGCAACGCGTCACACAACAGCCAGGTTTGAGTTCGGAAGATGTTGCTAAATGGGAAGGTGCGCCTGTGACCACGCACCTATCACGTGATGGCGATGAAGAGAACATGGGGACAACGGAGATTGGAAATAGAATAATGGAGGGACAGAGGGTATGTGAGCGAAGTATTTAAAGTATGTAGCTGGTGGTAGAGGTGATGTATTAGATACCCTCGTTATGGTAGTGCCAGAAATTTAAAGAATTCGCATAGTTCGGTCTTGCTCAAAAGTGTCAAATTAATACAACTTATGGATGTAATCTCTCTGATTACACTACGCTTACACTACAAACAGCAAGTTGATCAACATGACCTCATGAGGCGCCCGCGTCGACAAACCGGAGGTTATGATGCGCCTGGTTAGGACATAGAAATAATGAGTACTTATAAAACTATGCATTGAATATAAATTATATTGCTTTGAAATAGGAAGGTGAATGGAGTGAAGAAGATCGCTCAAAATTATCTCGTTTAATGGTGAAATATCCTGGTGGTACTCCTGGCCGATGGGAAAAGGTTGGCTGCGATATGGGCAGGTCTGTAAAAGATGTAAGTACAATTTGCTGTACTTTCATAAAGTACTAACCATTAACTGTATCTTAACCATTACTTAAATGTAATGACCTACTCACCGCACCTTAATTCTACCTGCTCTTCTTACTATTTACTGTACCTACTACTATACTTCGTTGAACTTATATTTAGTGCGTTCAGTAGAAAAACCGTTCTATGTACGTTGGTCAAGATTTTAGAGAATCTTGATCGGAAGCACTATTGGTAGATGGTGTTCTTATATTTTTTACATTGGGAAACATGCAGGGAAAACAACCACCTAATGAATAGTTCAATGTTTTGTAGATCACTACACAAGTTAAGCAAACGAAGTCGATGATAAAGGACCAAGCCGTTCCTCATCCGGGTTTGTTATATTTGACCAATTACATTAATCCTGTTCGATTACGTGTGATTTGTATTTGATGCAAATAAAAATTAGGCCACATTGCTTGCAATCAGGAGTTCCTTCAATTGATTTTGCTGTACGTGGTTGCCGTCTCAGTATTTTTGGTGATATTGTTGTTGTCCTGTCCTGGGCGTTTCTCACGAACGTATCCAGGCGTCTTTTGCTTAAAATGTGGTTTTAATTAATTCAATCTTTTGCATAATTAATATCAATACGGGCGCGCAGGGGTGCTTGGGGAGAGCGCCACTCAAGCACCCCGCGTGCGCGCTAGCCGAAGATCGATATAAAAAACTGTAGTCGCCTATTTTAATGCGCCTGGGTACGAGGCTGTGTTGCTAACTTTCACTGATGTTGATAACATTTTCCAGGAGATTTGGCAAGACTTGTTCCGAATAACAAAAAAACAGCGAATTTGGATGACAACATTGTAACTAGAGTTATTAGAGAGGAGCATAACGGGATGTCAAATGATCACCAAGTGAAGCCGACGACAAATGGTGTGACAAAATCAGAAATACAAGACAAAGGATATTCTACTGCAAGTGCTGCTAAGTCTTCAACCACAGATTTATCAGCAGCAGAGTCTTTAGAGGACGATAAAAACGCTTGGTCACAAAATCAACAAAAACTTTTTGAAAAAGCATTGGCCACAGTTGCCAAAGACGCATCCGATCGATGGACACAGATTGCCAGAAATGTACCTGGTAAATCCAAGGTTAGTTCACTAAAGGATGGTGACTACTTTAAGCGGAACAATCGTGATTGTGTTCACCACGTCTTTATAGTGACATCTTTTTTGTGTCATTTTTTTTGCAGGAAGAATGTGTGGCGAGATACAAGTTTCTTGTAGAAATGCTTAAGAAACGAAAAAGAGGAGAAAGAAAATAGAATATAGTTAAAATGATGTCTAATAAATATGTACAAAAGATAGTTTTTAAATACAATTCGAACCGTTTTATGTTCTCTCTGCTGTGGAAGAGAATGCTTTAGCCTTTAGAGGACCTGAAAGCAAGTATTTTGGAAGAGGTATAATAAACTTATTCTCGTGTATCCTCCCATTTAGAAACCTCGGCATATTGACCTTTTATCTTTTCTTGCTACAACTGATCTTATAATACACTGAAATAGCAACTATACCGCTATCAAAAGGCGTTCTCAGCTCACGACTTTACAAATTACGATTGATCTAGAAACCTAATGCAAACTGCGCCTCGACTTTTAAGATATATTGCTAGGAAATAACACCCTATACTGCACGTATATCAGATCGGGGCTTACTATCAAAGACTACTGATATATACATATTTTATCCTATAGAGTTGGGTTAAGGTACCTGCGTTACTATACCACAGTTTACCAATGAATGTACCATATACCTAAGGATACCTTGATTTGGCGCCAGTCACGTCAGTGATCCTCAGTGCAGGGATCGCGTTTCTTAACGATGCAGTACTTCATGTAAGTCTACTCTGGGGCTTGATTTTTGTACTACAGAAAGAAAGATTTGCGAAAGTTTGTTTATTTATTTAGAATGATTTTTAATATTTTAAAATTTCTAACCAAGTTACGATATTCATACCAAATATAGAGCTCAAAATGAGTTGGAGCTTCTTCAACAAAAAGAAACTTGCGCCGAAATCAAGTGTCGACCGAGAGTTTGAAAGAGAAATAGCAAGATGCAACGAACTTGAAGCGAACACAAAAAAGCTCTACAAGGGCATGAAGCGTTGCAACGAATCGTTTGAAGAACTGACAAAAATAGAGCTCAAGATTGCTCAAGATATTTCTACTATGCCTACAAATGAAGAATCAAATGGACTTAATCACGCTGATCTTTTTGCGAAAACGTTGAAAAGTCTTGAATCGCATCGAGTTGAATTGGCGTCAAATGTTGTCAAAACAACAATTGAACCTATGAGGAAGTTTTATGGTGTTTTTCCAAGCGTTAATAGCGGTGTAAAGAAGCGGGAGCAGTGCTTACAAGAGTACATGAGATTAAGGGGAAAAGTTGACAAATACAAAGATAAGGAAAAGACTGCACAAAACATGAGTAAACTTGAACAGTATGAGAAGGAACTTGAGACAGCCAGAATTGATTATGAAACTCAAAATGTTTTAATGTTGGATGGGCTACCTCAGCTGTGGGAAGGTAGAGTTACATATTTTGAACCATGTTTTGAAGCCTTACAAAGGTCACAAGTTGATTACTACAGCAAATGTTGCCAAGCATATAGTGACCTGGTCCACACACTTGAGGGTGATAATGTTGCTGATGATGAGGAAGATGTTCAACTTGATGTGCAAGACATGCTCAATGACTTGAGATCATTGTCAATTATTGGAAATGCCTGAGAGGCTTACTCATAAGTCTATCTTGCAATCAATATATATCTGGCAAAGCATCTTGGTTTAAAAACCTTTTGGTTTGATTCCAGCTGATTTTGGCAGATTAAACAACATAAAACTATACACACAGTGATCCACCATTTTTTGAAGTTTTGCGTTTTTTGTTGAAAACAGTGATTTTTTGAAGAGAAAGAACTGACTGCACACACCACAGTAACTTAATTGTGTCATTGCCAAGGTAGTCAAACTGACAATACCTTCTGTTATTGCAACTTGCCTAAACTGTCAATATATGACTGTGAAATGCACTGCCGAAATTTATAAAACCTAGAAAGATGGTGAAAAAGTGCATAAAAAATAGCGAAAATAATTAAATAGTTACCTACCTTACTTTATAAAGTGACTTCATTGCAAACTATGTTTAATGTCCGTTATTCAGAAATAATGCTCAAAATTAATACAGCAAAAATTGTTTCCTTAGGAATTTTGAAAAATGGGTTAATTTTAATTTTAAACCATGTGTTAGGTCCCTTGGCTGATGTAAAAATATTATTTTCCTGCATGTCAAATGAATTCATGGAACCTTTAGCGATTTCTAACAATGTAAGGGAAGAGAATTTATAAATTACTCAAACTTTATTTTCCAACTAAACTTTTTACAACAACTTATGCTTTGTCAGAAATTGAGAAACAAAAAAACTTTCTTTGAGAAAACAAATTTTTTTTGAGAGAAAAAAAGTTTTGATTATAGCCAACCCCGCAGGCATTTCTATTCAATTCTGATTGCGGCAAACAAGTCTCATAAAAAGTTCCTCTATTTAGTCTAAAAAACGAGGTCCAAAAATTCGACTCAGTATTAAAGTAATATTCATATTTGGCTTACACAACGATTAACGTTCGAATAATCATCATGCAGAGAGCTCTACTGTAAAAAGACAGTGCCTGGTAGAATAAAATACTATAAAAAGACAATGCCTGGTAGAATAAAATAACGCAGCAACGTTGAATAGCGTGATTCATTACGCAGTTTCAAGATAAAATATCCGCGGTAAGGCTTGTTTTCACTTAACACGCCATACTGGCTACGGATTTGTCATCACCATGCTTTTAATTAATTTCAAAACTGACAGTATCCAATGTTCTCCGCCCTTAAGAGACACACCTTGAGGTGACCTAACTTTCAATTAATTGAAAAAAAGAGATATATACAAAACATATGTCTAAATAAGACATATTTATAATTTTAGTATGAATGAAGTGTATATATACGGTATAAATATGAGTCTACACATACTTCGTTAAACGTTAAATTCTAATTTTTAAATACTTTTATTTAAAGTACTGATTGATAGATTTTGTTGTGAGTAATCAGTCCTTCCATGGGTGTTCTTACGATATCAATCCTTCCATGGGTGTTCTTACGAAGCCCAATGATCAAGACAACGAGTGTGAAGAAGCGCACTCGGAGCAAATGTTCATGTTTCAAGGTAAAATCACAGGCCCTGATTCAACTACACTAAGGTAGTAGCAGCGAATCATGCAGTATATATAATCTAATCAGTGCCATATTGAATTGGTTGCACATCTGTACCTTTGTACCATGCATACATAACCGTGAACATACCATAACAAACCAATATCCTTATCGTAAAAAACAAGAATGATATAACGCGTTTAGCCTCCTCCGCAGGCATCTCTTATGCATATTTGGCTTGGGCCAACCCATGCCTAATAACCTATAATATAATTTAATACATAAAAGATGCCTGCGGAGGAGGCTATACCGAGTAATGAGTTGATAAAACCTCGAAAACACCCCGATAAAGACAGAATATTACTACTATAAATTTATTTAATTATTTTTGTTCAATATTCAAAAACATAATATTTACACTGTCATTGTTCAATCTATGTTCAAGTAAAAATTCCAATGGCGTTACAGTCCTGCTTTCTTTGTCCCAAGTTTAATATCTTTCCACAATGAAATTAAGCGACGGATCTTATATGCATTGTTCTGCATTCATGGTTTTATTTCTAACACCGTTCAACTGCCACATTCGTCGGTTCATTATTGCAATGGAGCTTAGACTGTTTTTGGAAAAAATTTAAATCTATACAAGCTATAAGTCTAATTTGCTGAGGACGAATAGTAGACATGTGAACAAAATGGAAAAGGAACAGCAGGTTGTGATACCAGAATTGCGTCCATCTTTAAGTTCAGTAGATTCAGTAGAACTCGATTCAACCAAATAGACTGCGATAAAAGGACAAACATCACATTATTAAAGTCGAAACAATAGTTAACAATATTACTTAGAGACAATTATTTAGACAGCCAAAGACAAAGAATATAGCTCCAAGTCGGTCAATCATTCTGCAGACATATGCATGGGCAGCTTATAAACGTCGCACTTCTCAACGCATTTAGAAACATTAGATAATCCCTGGAAATACCTCATTTATTTATATAAATTGTTTTAATGCCTTCGGCGAAGTTTCTCCTTACCTTTTTTTGTTGGCATCTTCGTTATTTTTTCATCTAAAATTCCACTTTTGACAGTAGCTTCTTTAACAGCAACATTGTTTGTTGGCGTTAGATATTCTAAACATAAAAAAGAAATTTAGCTTTCAAAATTTTCGTACATTTATAGATACTAATGAGAATTACCTCATGAAGAAGCGAAAAATTCTCGAGAATTTAAGTCTATATTGTCTCTTCATGCATGCAATATGTCATTATCAAATGGAATATTCAAGTAGCTCTCGTTGCAATTATATATAAACCTCTTATGTACCACTCCTAATGCCTAGTTCTCATATGTCCCTAACAGACGGCCATGTGTGTCGGTGGTGGTATATACATCTTACCTTGAGTGGTGGGGAGTGTTGTTGGAATTTCTTCCTCTGGCTGTTCACAGGCATAGACATCAACTCTCATGCACACAACTTGGACCCATGATAACGGGTTGAAACGAATATATCTTGCTGCAAGTAGTCGGTTTAATTTATGACGAACAATTTTGTCTCTCTTGCCTTTATGTTCATTGCCCATGAAGATCTATATGGGGAAGATTTTTGAAATATGACCACTAACGTTCGACATTTTTTTATTCGTTTTACAAAACATTTAAATGTGTACAAACCTTGGACTTCATTGTGCTATTGTCTTTGTATGGAAACCATTGTTTTCCATTGATACTGTACATAATTTGATACGAAGTGACAGATCCATAGACATAACCTTGGGTAGCTACTCCTGTCACATTTCGGACTGTTCTTAAGTCAACCTACATACAATGAAAATATGGAAATATTACATTTTAAAAAGACACGTGAAAGTGAAAACGTAATCTCCGAGGGGATATTTACTCATGCACCAAAATTTGCTGACGTTACATAAAAGTGTGAAATGGCAAATATATAAAATGGTTGCTTTTCAAAACGAAACTAACTGATCTTTTTGACCACGACAAGAATACTTAGCATTTAATTTGTATATGATTGTAAAGCAATGAAAAAACCATAAACAAAAAGGAATTCCTATACAATGAAATATGATTACAACTCTAATGCTATAAAGTTTTGACAACAATGTATTATGATTGATCTTCGATATATGATGAAAAGGCGTCTTCTGAGTCTTTTCACGTTAAAATAGTTGTTTTATGGATATTTTATAAAAAGCGCAGTTATTTATGGGTTATTAAATTAAACGCTTTCCAATACCTGTATATATTGATTTTTATTCGCGTCATCCGCACACCAGGCACCCCATATTCGTTTCGTTTCATTAATTTTTCTTATTCTGTTGTTCAGTCGACCGAGATAAGGAAAATGACCAGCTTTGAATGATGATGCAAGGAATGAATGATCTGGTAAATCGCCACTCTCTATACCGACCGATGAATTACATGGTAAATCTAAATAAAAAAAATATAGATGGCAGTGCCAATGAGTGGGTGCATAAAAATTAATAAATACAGCGCATGCTTATTACTCAGAAGGATTTCGATAATGACGATAATAATAATGGGTCTTTACTCAATTGATAAAAGTACATATCAAGAGTTACAGGGAGAAATGGTATAAATATAGAAATATTAAAGCTAAGAGAGCAGCCACTAAACAGTGTTAGCTTATACCTAAAGTATAACCTATTTATAAAGCTATTTGCAAAACGTTCCGTATTGACTCTTGGCAATTAACTTTCTCGACGTTTTCGTATTGACTCTTGGGAATTGGGAAAACGCGGTGACGATTCTTTAACCGTAGGTAAAGGTGAATGTATAATTCAAGAAGTTTATAGATATTATACAATTTTGAGGTGTAGTGTCTTTCGATGCCTCTAATCAAAGTATATTACTTGAATTTTTGAACTAAGTGCATGTGTATGGATGAGTAAAATCTCGCACACAAAAAGATATTGCAATACCTTTAGAATGCCGAAATCAAAACCTGATCCCAGACCTGCTGATTGCTGAGGTCATGGGTGTGGTCGACCATCCAAATACTAATACTTTACATATGGATGACAGGTATTTCCCTCTTGACATAACAATGTCTAGGGTAAGCTTTTAAACTCGCAAACGAAACACAAGCGATGTATGGAACAGTTGTTTGTTATAAGACGAACCATCTGAAAATATTCTCTCCGTGAAAAGGCTTGTACAAAGCTAGGCATACTGAAAATGGTCACAAGTTTCACAAAGTTTTCCGGATGTCCATTCACTTCTCAATTAACGTGATCAAAAACGTGACATCTGGAGATAATTCAAAGTCGAACTTATAGAAACAGAATATTTTCGCTTCAACACGGATTATATATACATTAATTTTGCACCTATCTTTGAAAAAAATATGCTCATTTTGTCCTAAAAGTCGCTATCAATGAAACATAAACCTTGTTGTCGTCACCTGTTTGGTTAAGACCACAAGGATGAGACAGATTAGAACATCAACCCAAAACAAGTGAGATAAAAAACATAAGCACTAACACAAAGAGGGCTTTATTCCTAAGTAAGTAGCGGAGTTTCTTTTTTTAGGACGTTTCTCTCCTTCCTGCATGGACTTTTCGTTTTAAATCACTAATTAGATCAATAAAACCGGCGTAGATATTTTTGAAGAGCAGAGAACCTTATAGTCCGAAGTACCCCTACACCAAGATATATCAACTATAAAAGTAATTACTATATTTGGTAAATCAATTGTGAATGAACAAAAGTAAACAAGACTAAAATCAGTCTCTTCAACCCTGAGTTCATGTTGTAGCATTCGCTGTTTTGACTATCCTTTTAATCATATATAGAACAATCCCAATGGAATAACTTTTGCACAATGCATATGGATATAAGAGTTGTTCATAGATCACATGCATTGGATTATGAAAGAATGAAATCAAATGAAATTGGTTCAACGTCTATATTTCAAAACCCTCAGGAAAGGATAACAATATACTGTTCGAATGACTTTTAAAAGTCTTTTATATACTCATGAGGATTTCAAAATATTAGATCATGCTTTTGACAGAAACACCAAACTTTACAGTGACGTATATCTGTGTATCATTCGCGCGATTTAACACTCTTTTAGAACGATGGTCGTAAAGTATGAACTTATTTTGTGCTGTTTAACACCTTTTCATGCCACATGGTCGTCTAATTTCCGGTTTTTCTCCTTTGTACAAATTTCTTTATTTTTCAAACTTCGCGTTTTTGAAAGTGGGAATTACTATATTCGCAAACTATCATATTGTATACGTCTTGAATACTGGCACTAAGGAAAATACATAGTTAAATTACAATCTTTAATTTCTATACAACGCATTATAGCTGTATTACTGCAGGAAATTTATATTTTGTTTGAGAAGCCGCCAACATATTTTGCGAACAGCTTGTACGCCAGTTCATAAATCAAACTTTTCCGTTCTCTAAGGCTATATTTTAATCTGACTGGCTGTCTGGTTTTCTTGTAATATAATTTACAAGTTGTGAGACATAATTCTAGAGCGTTTCGAATGATATAAGTCAGTTGTTGACCCGAAATTCTTGTGTGAAGAATGCACAACTTATGGTCATACAAAACACTTGGAAAGATAAAATTCAGCAGTCACAATATGGGTTGTTATGACAAATTCGAAAGCAAATGTGACGATAACATTTCGAATGCATAAACTCATGAACTAGTTTTGAGGCAATTAATTCACCAGCTTTTATGGACAGTCAGTTTGATTTAACTATTTGACTTTGTCATGCCCTGCATTGTCGATGAAGATAGTATAACTATACGTTTTGAAACACTGTTAGTATAATACTAACAGTGACACTGAGGTATCTGATTTTCAGTGAATAAGGTGACGTTGAAAAGCTTGCTTTGTGTTTTTTTCTAACTTGGAAAAATATATCCTAACAGAAACGTCTTTTTATAACTCGCGTTATTAATGTGGTTTATTTTAAATAGCAGACACAGAATTTATTAACGGTTACTGAATATGTGGCACGGTTTTAATATTAATTTTGAAATTGAAAATGTCGAAGTACAAGCTGTTGACTCATGCGCTTTCACATACAACGTTAACTGAGTCAGAAAAACTCTTTTTAAAAACAAAACTACTAGAGATGAATGAACTAAGGTAGTTATTGAGTTCAAAGTTAACGTGTATGAAGAACTCTCTTCTGAAGAAAGAAAAAAGAACTCGGACAAGTCAAGTGTGTCCTTTTCGTGACCAGCTTGTACTTGCGTCGCCATTAACCTTTTATGATCCGGTGTTTGTTGTAAGGTGAGATGATACGATTTAGGGTGTTAGACGCATTAGGAATCAATAAGCGAACACAAAATAGTTTCAAACAATTGCATAGGTGTTTTCCTTTCCCAAATCTCTCATATAGTCTTGCTTTCTGTTCAGCAAAATGATTATCCTCCGTCATTCCGGAGACGAAATCCGAAGTATCGAAAATCCTCAACATTGTTTCCGCTCATGTTCAGCCACGTAGAGTCGTTAGTTTTAACACGAAAAGGAAAATAACACCACACACGCTAACCGTGACTTCGTTTAAGTGAGAAAACCCTGAAGTATTTTGTACCCAATTGCGCAAGAGTTTTATACAATACTCCATTTTGCATTCATGGCGCCAAGCAAGTCAAGGCAAAGTGTGTGAATCGCGCGTAAGCTGGGAATTAGAATTAAAAAGCGGCATTATTGTCTCAAATGTTACATCAAATATTCTTGTAATGTACTGTACAAATTTCGGCTGTTCTATTGCCGTTTTGAGGTTCAACAAGAGAGCTTTTCAAAGGTCTTCCTAAGCGGAAAACTTAAAACTGTTTATACTGTAAAAAGTAAACTATTTGACTGTTAAACGCCACCTGAGACGCTAATGTTAGTATTTTCTGACATTATATAAGAAACTATCATTTACCTGCCGTGGCACAGCACATCAACGTCAAGGACATGAAAAACTTCAGCGTGATCGCATTCATCTCGTTCTCTCGAACTCCCAATTTCTTGAGCGCAGTTTGTTGTAAAAGCATCGAACTCTCGAAACGCACATCCTCTCGCCCGGGCGCCGTGGTGTTTATAGACAATCCAAAGGGCCATAAATCACTAGTGAACAGCCACAGGAATATTGCGAACGTAGATTGGTGGAGAGACATTGATTTGAACAGAATGATTAATGACCATCCACGCCTGCTTCGTCTTCGTGTTACGCATCTCAAGATTCTGCGCATTCTTTTTACCTGGCAAGCGGTCTGAGATCATCAATCTTGCGATAAGGCAATGACAAGTGCTCGTCAAAAATTTTATTAAATCAAGCTTGCCGCAAAGCGGTGTGTATTTCACTCGCAGACCACGCAAACATCGCGCACCCCTTACTGCCCCTCCAGAATACCCAACAATTGTTCGTAATCAATTCTAGTTTGCTAAACTCTTCAATTCGGAAGGCTAAGACGCTAAATGCCCCCAATTATCACGCTTTGCTCAATATACAGTTAGTCTTAGTAATTCCTTTAATTCTTTTAATGCGAGTAATCTGGTTAACCGGTCCATCCTGCAATCCATCATATTAGAGAGCGCGCTTCCGTTCCGAAAGCAAACACCCTCACGCTAATAACAATTTGTCTTTGCGAACTTGTCAGAAGTTTGGCAATGATTTCTAAACTTCTCAAAAAGACGGGAGGTCTGTCGTTTGAGCTTGTTTTTTTCGTTTTCGACATGTTCCAAAATAAAAGTACGTACAATTGTTTTAATTCTTGCGTTTAGCTCATTTGCATTATATGCGTTTCAGTTATTCACTATCGTTCGTTTCCGTGACGCGTTATTCAGACGCACGAAAAAGGCGTGTAGTTTTCAATAAACAACCACTTGGCGATTAATCATTCCCAGTCTCCGCACGCGCATTGATTGTCAACGAGGAGATATATGCAAAGTAATTATTATGTAGCTATAGTCATGCAATTATAACAAAGCTTCAGAAAAAAGTCAATATGATCCTTTCATATAACTCTAACCTGGCTTAAACTTAATATTCATTAAGGAGTAAAATATGCGATTAATATTACGACAATCGATGGAAGCAAAGAGTATATTTCAAGATTGTGGAACTTTGTTCACATCTAGTGGTGTCAACCACGCGAGCAGAGTTTGATATCACTGATAATGAAAACATAAACTACATGTAGAGTGATATATAGCTATAATATTAAAAAAACTTTTTACCAAAAGTTTTTTACTATAAAATCTATTAACTTTGGTTAAACAGCTTTATAACTATCAAGTTAGTGGTCCTTCCAAAGTTCCCGAAAATCAGATAGATTATATTAGGTTGTCCAGCATTATAGCAGCCTGTAGCCTGTAGGTAGAATACTGCTCCATATTTCATATGAACGATCAATAAAGCCTGAAAGACTGCGACTCGGAGAACCTCTTTATTTTTTTAAAAATCCCTTGTAATCCGGCGCACATATAATCCGGAGAATAATCCGGCACCTGGAATTTGACAAGTAGATTATACATGCTCGGGTAATCATGCAGTAGAATTAGACAATAGAAGTTCTTAAGAGACTTTGCATTTGAAACTCCTGAGCGACTCCTGCATGATTTCAGTGGACCAGTGGTATGCATGTCTGATCCAGTATATAAAGTCATTTGTGGTACATTAAGAATGACTAATGATTTCGTGCAGGAAACTCGACTAATGAGCTCCTGTGAGTTGGTCGTCTTCCATGGTTGGCGTCTTATCCTGACATGTCACAGTAAGTTTGACAAACTATTTTCTATTCTGCGGAAGGGCGACGTTCAAACAAAATAACTAAGTATGTTTGTTATTTCATGCATTAATCTGTGCTATTGTTACACTTTAATCTGTCTTTGGCAAATTCAGCAGTATCTCTGAGACTTCATTTCACCTTGCTGATGACCCAGGCTGACTTTTTTCTAAGTTGGTTTCATTAGTAGCCTACATTCAGGGGTGCTGACAAGCGTTATTTTGGTCCGTGAAATTCGAATTGTTTTTCTTGCCCTGAAACGCGTTTGCAAACCTATACTATAGTATAGTCGTAACTGACGACTGGAGCTTTCGCAGAAAATATTTCGGATTCGCATTAAAGTACAAATCTAAGTAGTAAAGAAATCTTTATAATTTATCAAAACGTGCCTCTGCATCGAGCTGATGCATCGTCTACTGTAGCTTCAAGACTTTCTGAAGGAGTAGATAGATGATACGCCCTCGTAGTTTGGTAGCGACTGCCTAACGCCTATTTCTTACATTGATCACAAAAATTGCAATTGCCCCAACATTAACACTAATTCCAGAAGACATCATTTTATACTTTCAATTATTTTGACATGCTCGGAGGAGCATATAAGATTTCGGTAATGTAGCAAGATTTCATGCATGCATTTAGACCTTGAAATTCTGACTAATGCTCTACAAATTCCATCAATCATCAAAATTCCATCAATCATCAATGATCTTTATAGTCAATATCTTTTAGTGAATTGCAAAACACCACAAAAATCTAACTGCATTAAACTAAACTAAACTAAACTAAACTCATTTAAAACTGTTACAGTCATTATGTACATAAGATTTTTTATAAAGCTTTTTTATATATTTAGTACTATTCCTTCAATGTGAAACCACAGTTACAAGTACATGGATTTTACTTCATCAGTGACAGTTTCTTCAAGTTCAAAATAAACCAACTCTCTGCTTGTAAGTATGTTAAACCTAATGCCTGTTAGTTCCTCTGCTAAAGATTGCAACACTTGAATAGTTCCCAACTCCTCCTTTGTTGCTGGTCCTTGCCTTGCTTTTCTTCCATTTACCACAAAACATGACATTGGTATTTTAACCACATGAACAAACTGTATTAACTTATTCAATACGTTATCCGATATCTTTGTATCTTTTGGGGGGTCAGGAAAGCCTTTCGACTTTTCTTGAAACATTGAGATCTCATAAATGACATTACTTGCTATATCAGCAATAGGAAGAGCTGTCAGGATATGCAGACCTTCAACTTTATTTGCCACCATCATATCCATAATCCAATCTATTAGTTCACCAGAGACATCTGAAGATGGTCTACAATTGAATACAACTATTGAGACTTTTTTTGATGGAATATTAGTAATCTGCACTGGACTGAAAGAATTGTCAAACTCTGTTTCTCCTTTGCAACTGACAAAGCCAAGATCTAGGAAACTGGTACGATCATGATTGGGAACTTGCTGATGTATGGTCTCTGCATCTGAATGGTAGTGCAAATCAACTCCAAGAAGTGCCCGACAACCAGCAGCAGCAATATCACTGAACCCAAGTAGAACTCGTTGTTGTAGCTTTACACTCATATTATTATAATTTTTAATTTAGATGTTCACATGCTAACTGTTTAAAACGATCAAATACTGAAATACTGCCAGCCCAGGCCAACCAAGTATCTTTGAAAATTACAGTTATCAGTGGTTATTATATTACACGCACATTTCGCGCATGTAAAGATTTAACCTGCGAGCAGGCGTGCTGAGGGGTAAACAGTCAGTGCACGTGACCTGTCAAAAAGTTGCAAATGTTTCGTTGCCCTGTTACAAATTATTTCATTTTACCATTGTATCAAATAATTCAAGTTTGATATCATTCATGACAATATAAAAAATACACAAATTCATTCTCATTTAATTTACACATGTCATTTAGTAATTCACATTTTTTCTTCCGCTATTCTATGACCCCTAATTAAAGAAATATTCTTTTATCTAACCCCCCCCGGTTAGAGCACCTTTCAATGGCTGACAACAACATGTGTTTGTATGTAGTGCAATATGTCTTATATTGAAATTCCGTTTGACGATTTAGAATTTTATGAATGTATTGGTTGGGGATCATTTGGATCAGTGTACAGAGCATTGTGGAAGTCGCAAGAAAGAGTTGTCGCAGTAAAGAAAGTACTTCGCCTGGATAATGAAGTATGTTAATCCTGACCATATTATAAATTTGTCATTGTGCACTTGTTCGAATTTACTTGACAAATATTGCTAGACCATAACAAATATCAATATTTTGTTTTTTATATATACCGATTCAAAAATAATGCTATATTTTACTTACTATATTTCTACTAGCCACTAGCCAGAAACGCTAGGTTGTCAATAAATGGAAAAGTGAAAGAGTTTTGATTGGGTATTTCCCCAGAATATTAAATAGTTTGTGAATAGCAAAACTCAAAGAGGTGTCGTTGGTGCATGCACATCTTGATGAGCTGTATTGTGTGCATACCAGACAGGTTTTTTGAACTCCTACATGCAGAAGTTCTCTTTGTCTGACTTCAGCATATATGGAACATTTCATTGAGGACATCTACAGGCAAAATTTGCCAGTTTAATAAAAATAAATATAAGTGAAATTTATAGTCCAAGACTAAGAGTGCAATTTCCAGACAGAATATATTTAAATTAGTTCACTTTTCTCGCAACACAATGTTTAGTTTAAATGCTTAAGTTTGCAATCACATTATTGCTGGCAGTACTATGCCATATACTAGCTGTGCAGCAGTTGTTTGGACATTTTGGTGATATTTTAAAGCAGGTTCTGTATTCATTAAGTACATTTACGAGATGATCAATCAACTAGCCACTCTATTTTGTTGGAACAGAGTATTTCCATGCATTTCAGAAGACCAACTCAACAAATGCCTTGGTGTACGTTGTGGATAAAACAGTCTAACATATTAAAATTCTGTTGTATTAGAGCACCAACATGGTAGCTATAGACGTATAGCCTTTTGTGAAAGTGCTCTATATTATCTAATATTGTATAATGAGTAAAATCCTTTTTTCATTTAAAAGGCATCATATAGCAAAGTCCTGGACATTTTAATGTGCAAGATGACATATTTTCAGTAACCCCATTTCTGCCACCAAACTCTGAAAATATTATATGTCTCATACATTTAGCCATTTTAATATATAATTATTACGCACCCCAAAATTTTTCAGTCCTTTCATGTCTGGCCCCTAAGTGAAGATCCCTGATCATTCAATTGAACATAATTTTTTTTACTATACAGGCAGAGGTTTTAAAGTTGTTAAGTCACAGGAATATAATTCAGTTTTATGGAGTTCTTAACTCATCACCTAACTATGGACTTGTTACAGGTACAGTATTATTGTACTAACCATATGGTCAATATCAATATACTGTATAATCATTATCACCAATATAACCTTGTTTTAATATAAAGTAGGTTAATTAGAGGAGATATGCTGAAATTGTAATTTCTAAGAGCATGCATATGTATAGGACCACTTAATATTTTTTCAGAAGAGCTAGAGAAAGAAGTGTAACTAAAAAATTGTAACCTGAAACCGTAACACATAAACCATTAACACAAAAAGGTGTCTTTTTGAATAAGTTGGTCTGTGCCTTAGTTGTCTTTTTTGTGGTTCTTTTCAAATTTGTTTGTACATAAACGTTAAGCATGTACTAATGTGCCATCTTTTCCGTTTCCACCTGATCACTTGTAAAGCACGTATTTTAGAGAAACACGCTTATGTTTTGGAAAACAAATCACTTTCAGAGTTCTTTTGGTAATCCCTTTTAATTCAACATTTTTGGATGATTATTGGAGAATCTGTGAGCCATTTATTAAGTGAATGATAAAGTGTTATTTAACTCTAAGAATTTTTTTTGGTGTAGCACAAGCGTAGTACATCTGCATCAGTATAACTGGCTTGCTTTTGTTTTTTAGAATATGCTTCTCTGGGATCTGTTTATAGCTATTGTTCTGATAGCAGTAAAGAATTACAATTTGAGCAGATTGTTAAGTGGGCAACGGATATTTCAAAAGGTAGTACTGTAATAAGTTGAGTGCCTATTCACTGCATAAAACATAAAAAGAAAGTAAAAGAACGACTTTAAAGTGTGCCAGATTGAGATAAGTCATCTTCTCCTATTAGGAATGAATTACCTTCATTATGAAGCTCCATTCAAAATCATTCATCGGGATTTAAAATCCAAGAACGGTATGTTAGAAATGATTTTTTGTAATCCGCTTGGTTTTTCTTTAGTACGTGTCTTACGAACAGAGAAAATGCATATTGTTGAAATAGATGATATCCTTGTTTTCTAATCGTTATAGTTGTCATCGCATCTGACATGACTGGCAAGGTAAGTTTTATGCGAATTATATATATCGTTTTTTAGAGTGAAAATACTTCAGTCTTCAGGACAAAACCTGGGGCCGGTAGTTCAAAAGCCAGTAAATTTTTACATCAATTTTTTTAATCTCTTCTTCACAAAGTTGACTATCTTTTTTCATATATTTTCTGGACTGATAGAAGTAACATTTTCTAAAGTTTTAAAACGAACAGTGGTTCAGAAGCACATAAACTAAAACACTGGATTAAAATTTAACTTAGGGTTAGCGCTAACCTAGCTTTGAACAAACGGCCCCTGGTACCGGCTCATGTCTCATGATGATTTGAGTCTCTGACTCTATCAGTGACTCGACCGAATATTGTATTCCACAGTGTACTGTAATCACTGATAACGGTGACGTTCTTTACGTGTGATACATTGTATTTATTTTATTGACAGATTTGTGATTTTGGAACGTCCAGAGTGGCAACAAATACAACTCAGATGTCTCTCAGTGGAACCTTCCCGTGGATGGCCCCCGAGGTTTGTTCGTTTAGAATATTATTCACCGCAGATTACAGATTACGGATTTATACATTCCAGTGTTTCTGTTTTAACGTAACTTTTCCCTGCGGAGAATCTCACCCTTTCATTTATGAAATAATGCAAACGTCACGCATATACTGACTGACTCCATGAACGGTACAACATGAATTTCGAAAACCTCCTTTGTTTGGCTAAAATGGAAATTATCAGAATCAGAATAAAATGATGAGAATTTTGTTCAACTTATACTAGGTCATCCAAAGTCTCCCTGTCTCAGAGCTCTGCGATGTTTTCTCATATGGTGTGGTAAGTGTGACTTAGTATACTTTGGTAACAAAGAATCCAATCTCTTACCAGTGAAGGGGTTTTATAATTATATAGTCATCTTATATGTTGTAAACTGCTTCACTCTGCAGGTGTTATGGGAGATGCTCACACGTGAAGTCCCTTTTAAAGGAATGGAGGGAGTTCAGGTTGCCTGGTTTGTTGTCACGAAGGATGAGGTTCGTACGTATTTTACACTGGCTTCGATTCTCTAAGTCTGTTTTTCACTTTGTCATGTTCCTAACGCTATAGCGTATCTGAATATTCGGAGGTCAATTAATGAGGGACTCTATCTTGACTATAGTCAAGTTTGCGCAAAGACGAAATTTTTATTAATTGCATGGTTTCATATAGACCATTTCAATAACGACATATCCTTCATTTTTTCTCCCATGTCTTTGCGCTCAAACGATAACTATTGCACCTTAATTACAGCATACCTTACTTTTGAGAGCATCCACACAATTACTATACACAACTACTGTAAACATTTTGTCAATTAGATGTGTAAGGTTGCATGAAACTGCGGACGATTCCTGATTGTCATATATTTTTGTTAATTTTTTTAGCGTCTAACAATTCCCAGTACATGTCCCAGTCAATTTGCTGATCTTATGAGAAAATGTTGGGAGAGTGATCCAAAAGTACGGTTCATGTCTAGGTTTATATGTACATATGTAATTTACATAGCTAATGTTGTTCGTGCAGTACGTGAGATACATTACGTGCTTTATGCTTTTTTGATAGGCTTTTCAAATTTTTATTTAAATTTTATCTAGAATCGCCCTAGTTTTAAGGAGATTATTCCTACCCTTGAGAAAATGGACGGCAACGGTTAGTACTGAAGGAGAATCTGCTATTGTGGTTACTACAAGAGGTCCTACAAATGCAAGAACATGATTTATAGAGAAGCATGTAGCTAACACTGTTACCACTGTTACGCCATGCATGTATGGAATTTTAACAATGATCCCATGCAAATTAGATTGGCAACATATAAGATGACCAATTTCACATAGTTGCAAATTTAACACAGTTGCATACATATATGTATATATAAGGGACTATTACTGGCAAACTTTCATTTATTAGTCGATCTTCCGTTTTCGTTCAAATATATATCATTGCTCACTAGGTTCATTGAGGGATGAAACAAATTCATTTCTTCGCCAGAAAGACGAATGGAGGTTAGGCTCCCCAGTGTATATAAGCACAGATGAGAGGGAGGGTTTCGAATTGATGCCAAAAATAGGTTTCGAATGATAGACTTTTTCATAATGACGTGAAATGCGGAAAGTCTGATGTCACATAAAGCTTGATTAGCATCGCAAAGCTAAAGAGCCAATCACACGGCGTGTAACATCAGACTTTTCAAGGAACTTTGGCATCAGCTAATTTTGCTAAAGGATGAAATCAGTATCGAGAAGTATTTTGCGGTCTTTTGACAAAACTTGATTCGATTTTTAAAAACAGGAAGGAGATAGACTCAACACTGGAAAAACTAAGTCGAATGGAAAAGAATTTAAATCTCAAAGCTAAGGAACTCGAAAAGGTAAATATATAGCTACTTAATAGTATGAAAAATATTAACGAGGATTGATGTTTGTCGAAGCTGTGTAAATAAAGCGTTATACTAAAAAAATTAATAAAAATTAATTGACTGCTTCTTATATATAGTATGTTTGCATAATACATTTAGCGTGAAGAACGTCTGATACAGCGTGAAAGAGAATTGGAACAACAATACGTAGCCAAGGTACGCAGTTTTTGCTCGTTACGTTTTTTCGAATAAACTGCATGAGTTATGATGTTTAATTATTTTGCTTGTCAAAATGATGATTCATGTTATCACCTGAATGAAATACGGAAAAGAGAGAAGGAAGGCGATAATCTTTGCGAATAATAGAAACTTTTGCGAACGAATATTGACTCTCATGTGTCAAGTTTATAGCACTGTTGACAATTCAATTTTATGTTTATTTCTAGGTTGTTAGTAAACATGACGTGAACGCCTGGAATGAAGAAGACGTTGTAAGCTATTTCGCTGATATATATTAAATTGCATGCATGATAATATTTATGAGCATGAATCATGATTTATAGAAATTTTGAACATTGAATTGACCATTTTTGTTTCAGTTCTTATGGGTGGAGCATATTGGAATTCAAGGTTATGACGGAATACTTCCTTTTGTGTATATTTTCGACTTTTCCACATAACGTTTACAATTCCTAGGGAACTAAGATCGGAGTGGATTCAGTCCTGAAACATCCCGAGGTTCAAATCCTTACAATGATAAAACCTTGAGTCCGTTATGTGCCTCAATAGGATCGCAATTGCCTAATTGCCTTCCCTGTGTGATGTCACTTTCCTGGAAAAATGCAAATATTAAAATCTCGTATATTTTTTTATTCAGTTGGCAACAGAAATATCTCAAATTATGCCCAACTTTTTGCCGATAATAATATTAATGGGAAAAGGTACGGGATTGGATACTTTGACTTCATAATGTTCTCTGTAATTAATCCGGTTCAATACAAACAGGCTACAAAGCTCAACATGCATGCATGTAATAAAGCTGCGAGATTGGACATAATTTATAAACAAATATTTTGACTTATTTTGAGAAATATTCTTGTTCATTTATAGACTGCTAGTTTTGACTATTGACGACTTAAAAGATTTGGGAATACAATCCCTGGGCTACAGACTGGAAATTCTGGTAAGTTTGTCAATTATCATTCTCATGCTTGCAATAATTTGTTAGTTAAAAAGCTTGCCAACATAAAGCCCCGTGGAGGTTTGAAATCATCCTCCTTTTCTCATTTCAAAGCGTCCATATATGTAATTTTGAGCCATGTTTTTCATATGATAATGCATTTTTGTAACAGGACAAAATATCAAAGCTGCAGAACGAGAATGTTCTGATGCTGCACTTTCCTCCCCTGGAGAAAGTACGTGAAAAAAATTATAATTGGTTTTATTATATAATATGCAGACGTGTTTTATTGACGAGTCCGCCACTTTGAAAAGCGATAATAACACATGTGCGATCGTGTTTGATCCACCGAACTGGAATCAGGGAGGGGGATAAAAAACTTTTCAAAAAAACCAGTTTTTCATTATATAATAAACAGAATAATAAATGGATGCGCGAAAATATGGAATTTATTTCTCGTGTTGAGAAAGATATCTCACTCGTTCGCTGAATGCGCTCACTCGAGATAAATTCCATATTTCCGCGCATCCATATATGTTATTCTCTATTTCATTATAAGTTGGAGATTTACTTGGTCGTATTTTGTTGTATTTATTTTGAATTTTGTTTTATTTATTCATTGGCTTTTCTGTTGGATTTTTAGGGTGAAGCAGTGAACGATGAGCGTTCGCAGAAAATAGTCACTTTGACATTACTGTTTGGTAATCACTGTCGTATTGGCAGGACGGTGCAGGTTGGTATATTAGGGATCCTTTACGGTGTTAAGGCCATTTTCCCCTTCAACTGTATCGTAGCGAAACGTAACGTATCTCATTGTTTTAAAGTCATTAGTTTTAGTCGAATACGTCGGAAACAAAGAAATACGTTACGTCACGCTACGATTGCATGGAATCGTAGCGAAGTGTAAAACAGGCCTTACAATCTAAGTAAAGATATAAGTATATGTTTCAACTATAGTAGCTTGGTAATAAGCACTTCATCTTAGGCTCAGCAGTTCTCAGAAAATATATATATAAAACTTTTAACAGGATTGCAAATGGAAAATGTATGCGGATGTGGATGTCGACGGTGATGGACCGTTCCATTCATACATCAAGGTATGCATGTATTACGTATTAGGCTATACCTTTCCGTATGGCGAGTGTCTCAGCAAATCTTGTACGTCGAACGTCGAAAAAGATTGGTTTATAACTGTATTTTGTTTGAATTCAAGTTGCTTAAACGATTTTGTAACCAGGACCGGCTTCAACTCTGATCAACTTCAGGATCGTGCAATGTTCATATACTCTACAGAAAACCCTTCGTCTATACTTGAACTACACAGGATTGAACCTGAACGTAACATGCTATGGTTATTACATTTTTGATATTTCTTTATCACGTACAGGACGTTACATTTAATTATCGATCGTCGGAGCCAATTGTATTGAAAAGTGTAAGTTAAATACATTACGTGCATATATTGAATTATATTAATTTGGCCGTTTTTATCAAATGACGTACTACTGTAGATCTTTCTTTACATATGTTTATTGGATCTTCCTACACGTTAGATTATCAATCTATTATGAAATAAATCTATATTTCAAAAATTACCTACCCAAATATATTAACAAGTTGGCGAAGACTAACCATTAAGGGTGGAAAATAGTAATTCCCATCAGCAAAATAGTATGGCGTCAATTAAAACAGGGAATTAAGTTTGAACTCCATGATCGTCTAGCCACCGTACGTGATGGAACACTGGCAGAAGTGTGGAGAAAATCCCTGTACTGTTGTTGAATGCACTGTTAATTACAGGGTGAGTTATAAAAGTCCATTATTTATCATTTCTATACAATTGATTAAATTTGAGATTTTGTACATATATGTACTGGTGTACGGGAAACGTAAATATCCGTTCATGCATGGGCCTTAAAAATTAAAAAACGCAGATAAAATCTTGGTCATGCATAGGTATTGGCATGTTGTCATACATATATTGCATTTTTGAGATGAAAATTGAAAATCAAACCCGAAAATGACAGAACCAAAATGAAGGAAATGTATTGAATCTTAATTCCAACTCTTTGTAGTAAATTCCAATATCTGCTGTAAATTCGGTTGTTACCCTGTGGGATTTTTAGAAATTGTTTTTATAAATGCAGGGGTTTTTCGTATATGAAGATATTAGACTATGGATTGAAAACTATATGCGTTTGCCTGAATCCATACTCGTCACGTTTTTGATGGTATAATAATTGTTTGTGTATAATTTAAGTTGTTTTTCTGTCTCGTTAGAATGATGTGAAGAAACCTCGATGTACAAAATACACTCATTGTGTACTGCTTCAAGAAGGCGGTGGAACGTACCAACGTACTGCTGAATTGACACTGAAACAATCTGTCGTTGGTGTCGCCTCACCTGTATCACCATCTCTTTCAAGTGTGAGTATATAAGGATTTCCATATACATTATAAGTAGTGTGGCAATGCCACAATGATCGATGTGTTCTTTTGTTTAGGATGTGTCTTTGGATTCGTGGCCTAGTCATCGTAGTCTCACTAACAGCACCTCGTCCACAACTATCGGTACTCCTTTTCTCAGCGCTTGGGAACGAGGCCCGGCAAGTGAGATTTTGTTTCCGTCAACCAGCTCTCGAGGTCTTGCGACATCAACAATGAATACAACAGTTCGTCGTACAAGTAGCGGCAATGCATCGTCGTCGTCACGTGAGTAGACCATGCAGTTACTTCGTCTTTGCCTATAGTATAGTCTGTTTTTTTAATTTTTTTTTTATTTAGTTTCTGTCTTTCAAATTGTACTTTTAACTACTGCTTCGCTTAGGATGTGTAAAATGTTGCTGTATTTCACCTTGTGCTGACATATATGCCATTTCCAGCTAAATTTCCTGTTCCTTCCAGGAACTAGCACTTTTACTTAATTTGTTGTATCGTTTACTTCTACTCGTCCAACTGGGATAAATAATTTCAATCCCCTTTTCTTTCAGCCAAGCCAGGTTCATCACCTTGCAATGCAAAGAAATCATATGTGAGCTCTCCTAAGACACCTTCCCAAAGTATGTTATGTGATATGATTCGGAGTTATCGCTCCTTTGTATTTACTACTACTACTCAGTCGTCTTTGCAATTGAACTAATACGTCATTTCTATCTTAATTTTAGGTAAACAAACTGAGAGCTCCGGCAGGAATTCACCATTTGAGTGGACCAGTGTGAAATCAAAACGAAAAGAAATTAGCCAGCCCAATACCAGACCATCTAATTCTGGTGCTGGTCATGCCAGGGGTGGAGGAGGTACATACAACAGAAGGACTGGAAACAAGTTTGGAAATCCAGGTGGGGCAAACTGTGGTAGAGACCAAAATGTCCAATTTGGCAGAAGTGTCAGTGACAATACCAGTAATCGAAAACATAACGATTTTGATTCTGTTAGAAGGACAGCTAGTGAAGGTAGTCGCCGCAGAAGGTGACACACGATTGTAGTTCGATGGCGGGTCAAGTTTGTCGTAACACCAGTGACAGTTAAAATGAATGGCGGGGGGGGGGGAGCAACTGGGGGTCAAAGTAATGTTGGCAAGGGCGGCTAGATCTTATTATAAGTGAAGAGAATATCGCATAAAACTATGAACTACTTACAAACATGAAAGTATCTGGAGGGGGCAAACTGCGGGCAGACAACAAAATTGGGTGTCCCATTGCCCTTACATTGTCCACTTTCATAAATCATGCTTTTACACCTGAAATATTTTAGTATTAGTCGGCGTAAAACGAATGATTTGGCCGTTCTTTCAGGATTATATTTTAACATCAGTTATTAAATAAGAACTCTAAACTCTGGATATAAGTATACATCCATCGCGCTATCAAAATCATACAATTTTTATATGATCTGTCACTAGAAAGACGGTTAGGCTATGGTATAATAAAATGGTGCCGTATATAAATTAAAATTTAACAAATTACTATGGAAATGGCAGAAATGATGATATGATGCGTGTGCATGATGCGTGCTTCTGGTGCCATAGGTATTCTGTTCTGTTATCTCTACGCAGTCAAATCCAATATGGCCGCTAATGTGGAAATACAGGCTTTTGCTGCTATTGAAGATAAGAGCTATTTTGATGATTTTGACTTGGAAGATGAGGATATGTCGTCTTTCTTAAGAGTAGTAGATGATGTCGAGGAGAACTACCGACGAAACCCCCAAAATTACACGCTTTTCTCAGGTGGAGCGGTTGGTAGTGACCTTTATTGGCAGAAGATTGGCGCCAAGTTTGGGATTCAAACGAAAGCATTTTCTTTTGAGGGACATGGTTCTGGTAATAACAGTGCTAGGGTTATTCTATTTCAGCAACAGTTGCAACAAGCAGATGCGTTTTTGCACAAAGCCAATAAGACCTTAAAACGAAATTTTCCAACCAGTAAAACCTTTGTTGATAATTTGCTTCGACGTAATTGGTATCAAGTTAAAGACACTTCAGCTGTCTTTGGAGTTGGCCGAATATGTTACCGTCGAAGCATAGTCGAAGGTGGGACAGGATGGGCTGTTCAAATGGCTATTGACTCTAAAAAACCCGTATATGTGTTTGACGTATTAAATTCTACATGGCAACAATTTGATTATAGAAAGAACAGGTTTCTTGTTTGCGAGGTGCCCAGACTAGCTTTAAAATTTACTGGTATTGGAACCAGGTCATTAACAGAAAATGGACGAAAGGCCATTAAGGATGTATTTGAGAATACATTTGGAAAATCATACTGTCAATAAGCAGTGAATTTTCATTCCTTGGAAGTCACAGTAATAGGTTGTTGTCCAAACTGTTAAAAAAGCTAATTGTTAAAAAAGGAAACAGTATGAATAGGATTTTGATTCTCTAGTTGTTTTTATACTGTGATTTTACTTTGCTAGTAAATGTTTACTCATTTGGCAAACTGAAGATTGCATGGAGAAAGTGCTTTATATATATATATTGTTTTTAAAATCAGTATTATCTATTATGTTAAACAATTACAATGTTCTTGATTTGGTATTGGCTTTCTTCATATACAAACTCCTTTTGAATATCTGGGCATAATAGGATGTGTACCAAAGTTTAATGAATATATCAACTGGTTATGATAGTTCACAGAGATGGTTTTGCTGAGTTACTGAGGCCAGCATCATATATTCTAGTTTATAGGGACTAGTCCCCGCTTAAATGTATGCGTAAATTGGTTTTTTCATGTAAGTTTGCCATTGTAAGAGATGACAACCTGGTAACTGATTCTGATAGCATTCTTGATATGATTGTCTAAGTACATGTCATACTATAAACTTCTTCTTTGCAATTAGATTTTTTTAGTGTATACCATACATGGATGGCTGTCTTATCTGGAAGTTGATGCATAGTAGTTATAACAAGAATTTAAACCATGCCAGGATTACCAAATTTGGGCCTTCAGCATTCCTATTATTGGATCAAGCCAAAAGGTGAGACTGCATAAAATTCTATTTTTCCCATTTATTTGTTGGGCATCTTCTATATAGGGTAAAAGTTACATTGGGAGCCCAATCCGCCATCAAAAATTTATTTTCTGATTCGTTTTTTGTCAAATGCATTTCCCCCTGTTTTTGGGATGAAATTTTTCAAAATATTAAATATAATGCTAAATATAATACAAGTTGCTCTTTCACCATACCCCTCTAGACAGCCTTGCTCTTATTGTGTGCCACTGATTATTTTTGGTCATAAAAAGCAAAAGCGATTATTAAAGAGGGGGCTATTTCGCAGACAAGCAACGTAAAAAGGGCTTTGGGTACTAGAATTCCAAGGGACTATAATGTCCAGTATGGTCAGATCTGCACATCGGTTCTGCCCATATGCATTTACATTATCAATTTCCATGTCTTGCAATCAGCAATCATTCTGCCTAAGAGAAATACTTTCGTTCGCAAAACACGAGTACAGTCTATTCATTGATTATTATTTATTAATTCCTCAAGAATTTCGTTCGATTTTAAAAAATTCAAAGTTCCTTTCGATTTCACCATCCAAATTTTATATTGTAATTTCAAAAATTCTGATTTTCAATAAAACAGGAAGTTATGGACTTTTCCAACTTCCAGGAATTGATCAAATGAATGGCAATGATTTCCATAAACTGAGGAATTTTCAAACTATTCACGATAGTCCTCGAAAAGCTCTTTAAAATTGTGATTTTTTGAATAATTTGTGGATCCCAGAAACTTAGTGCGTGTCCAAAAACAAGGGCCGCGCATTTTTCTGGAATATGGAGCCATTATGGGCTTGTAATTATGGAGCCTGAGGTAAGGATATCTTACAAAATCTACAAGGAATTTTACACCCAGATTCTAGCCACTGCACAGAAAAAATAATAGATATATTATCTACTTTGTGTCGAAGAGATTTTTCGGTTACGATTGTCGATCTGTGTCGTTGGTTTAGTTTATACTAGTGGAATGGCTGAAGCAATTGAAAGTAACCATGTAGACCATATAGTAATGTTTAGTAGAAAATGCCTTTTAGATATAAATGATAAACAAAAGGCAGAAGTGGAATCCATTGCTGACTCACTCAAGGAAAATTTCCAACTGTGCTATATCTCGCACCAATTTAAATATGAGGAGCAAGAAGCCCTCCCAGAAAGGTATTTTTCTTTTGACGAAAGTAACGTTATATTCCAATTGTACCTAATTTATTGTACGTGTTGCGGCATTGTCGTTTCGGTATTCAGAACAGTTTCACAAGGCATTGCCAAACGAAGAAGGAAAATATTGATTAATGCGTGTGTCAATTTCGAAAGTGGTCGCTCGCTGTCAATATATAATAGTATAAACCATATTATAAACGGAATGTTAAAATCTTTTCAACTTTTGAAGCGTTACGGTGTAGTATCAATCGGTATCGCGAAGTCAAAGTCTAGAACATGAAAGTGAAAGAGAGTTGTTGAGTTAGGCCACGTCAGAGCTCGACCATAATTTGCAACAAATGTTACAGGATTCCACGAATACGTGAACTATAAATTTAAACTACGATTAGAAATTATGTGACATGGTGAAAAATAAGAGCTTTGTCTAGATTGGACTACGGCTCATGCTATGGGACCGGCGAAACGGATAGTTATGAAACGGAGAGTTATTAATAAGCCCGAATCAAACGAGAACACAAGTCCATCGCAAGTTCTCTTGTAGTTGCCTGGCTGTACCTCGTTTGACCGTCTACTTGCGTTGACTTGCGACAACTTGAGTCTTTTCAAATTTCATCACAAGCTTTTTGAAACTTGTGAACGTTTGAAGTTTGAACACGAACACACGAAGTGTAAGTATTTCGAGCCTGTTACCATGGAAACTTTCCGAAAAGAAATTTTGAAAAAAGTACAGTAGGAAGTGGATAAAGAAAAAGAAAACAAAGCTTGGAAGAAAGAAGTAAAAAAGAAGTGGACAAACGCAGAAATAGTGAGATTAATCGAGGAGTACGAATCAATCGTTTGACCAGTCTCACGCAAGTCACAGCAAGTAAACTTGCGATGGACTTGCGTCCTCGTTTGATTCGGGCTTTACTTACGGCTCGCGTGTCTGGTATGCTGCCTGGGAGACCCTGTTTAGCTATTCAGGACTTTGAAGATTTATGTTTAAAACCACGCCCAAACCACGACCACGCTCTAACGTAACCCATTTTCTTAACCGTCTCCAAATGTTTCTTGAACTAACATGAGAGAGTTATGGTTGACTAACTCCTTTTTTGTTAACATTGTGAAGTTTAAGATGTTGGAGAGTTAAAATATTTCTCTTTCGTGTTCACGTTTCTCAGCGAGAGTTACGTCAGTTTTGTGAAAAACCACTAAATTTTAGTACATCTGTAACTTTATCTGTTAACCAGTTTTCCAAAACTGACAGAACTCGAGCTCTTGTGTTACTTCAACTGAACATCAAGAGAGTTAAGAATTTGGGCGTATACGCGGAATAATACGCTGATAGCTCAGTGAATACTGTATAAAAATGCACATGGTATATACCAAATTAAAATAAGACATTTGCGAATTAAAAGTCAAGAAGTTATTTTTAGAACTTTTGTTACCATGTTTTTTGCGCCACACGGCTTAACTACTAAATATTTATATATTATTCACTCTTTCCTTATTGTTCATTGTCAGGATACGTGAAAATTTTAAAAAAAGAGATGACGAACTTCCCCCTTTTATTCGTGACTCTTCGAATTCAGGGAGTACTGTTATTATCATTGGTGCAGTAAACGAAGATCTATATTTGGCTGCTCACACTAAATCCTTTCTTATCGGTGCATCCTGGGTTGAACTTGAAGACAAAGTTATAACATATGGAATACCAGCCCCCACACCGAACGCGGCAAAAGTGATATTGGAAATCATTGCTAACCAATCCGAATGGTACTACACTTGTGAGTTCATAGTCTCAGACGTACCAACAAAGGTAGTCGCTTTGTGTTCAGCAAATACGTATGGACCTCCCTCAAATGAAAAAGAGATTGCTAAGAAGTTTCAAGCAGTCTTAAAGGATGGGGATAAGAATGCAGCCACAAAAAAAGCTCTGTTGTGTTACCTTATGGCAGGTAATTTATGTAATAATACAGTAACTAATTTACAACGTGGTATTTCATAGTGTTATTTGATTTTATACTTAGCAAATCTTTTCCAATTTACATTACAGCCATAGCTCATGATAATGACTTCAGGGAAGTACAGGACTGGGCAATTGCACCTTCTTCCTCTACAGACGTAAATGAGACAATGGTGGAACTGAAAGAACATCTGCGCTACATGATGTATGGAAGAAAAAAGGATCCAATTTTTGTTAGACACGAAGAAACAACCAAGTCAAGATATGACAAATACGGCGAGAGAGTGCGAGATGATTATTGCCAAAAACATTTTCGTAGTATAAAGGTACACCAAAGTTATAAAACCAAGCTAAAAGGAAGAGTTGTTTGTGTAATAGACGACTATCTGACTCATGGAAACACTTTTGAGGCTCTACGAAATTTGTTAATTAAATGTGAAGTTAAGAAAATAATTTTCGTCGCGATTGGTAAGTTTTTGCGCAGTGATGAAGGCAATTATATAACTAAATCATTCAGCATCGAGGGTGACGTATTTACTAGCGATTACCAAGCCACATTTCAAGAAAAAAAGTCACACCAAAGGTGGATTAACCTATCTGCGAAACGAAGTCAGCAAGAGCTAAACAAGCTCGCAAACTCTTTAGGGTATTAGGCCCTTGACGTAACGTGACGTAATTAATACAAACCTTGAAACTTTACATACGACTCCTTTTAAAAAAACAGGCAGAGTTGCAATAACACAGTGCAATATATGTTGCATTCTTTGCTTTTAAATAACTGTATTCTAATTTGCTACCCATGCAGAGTGGCGGAAAGCTACAAATACGAATAAAGACACGTAAAAACAATAGCAAAATGAACACGTTATACGTTGCATGGCGAATCGTGTAGTATATTATAATATAACACTTATAGCACGCGCGTGCTGATTGGTCGAAAAGCGTGTTTCTATTTAACAACTATAGTCGCCTCAGGCTCAGTGATTACACGGAAAATGTTTTAGTCATTTAGACTGATGTAGATCTAAATGTGTTAAAAGTGTGAAATAATGAAAAATTGGAGGAACAAGTCATGTAGATTAGAAAATATAATCCATATTCTTTTAATTGTAAACGTAATGAATAAAAACCAAAAATATGTTGCCTTTGGCGTGTTTAATTTTCGCAGATGTTTCGAAAACAAAAACCACACAATCAGACTGAACCAATCAAACTTCGTGTAACATCAGACTTTCATCAGTGTTTGGACGTCATTATGAGAATGGTCTGTTTTCATGTAGGTCATCTGTATGATGTGTTCGATGACTCATCAGTTTGGAAAGTGTTTTGCCAATATTAAGGACACTGCGCAAGCTCATTTTATTTTATTTTTCTATTTTATAAATTCAAACTTCTTGAAGAAATAGTAAATTGCTTTAGGCCTACGCTACGAGGGTTGTTTATGTTCTAGTTGTTCTAGGGCCGGTTGTATCAAGCCCGTTTAGCTTAAACGGTGGATAAGCTCAAAATAGAAAGCAAGTTTATCGTTTTATTCAACAAGCAAACAAAATGTTTTTAACCATAATACAAAGATACTGTTTACAACTACATATTCAGTGCATAATATTTAAGTTCACTCATTCAAGAGAGATGTAAGAGTGTTATTTAATTTTGACTTATCCACCGTTTAAGCTAAACGGGCTTGATACAACCAGCCCCTGGTTAAGAAGACGAATCGGCTTGCAGCTATAAAGATGCGAAAAATGTAAAAAGGCTTGCGGGCTCTTCTTACAACATCTCATCCACCTGAGCAGCTTGCGATGCTGTTCAGCGAGCGGTTTAATGAAAGCTGTTTAACCTATGGTTTAACTTCGTGTTGAGAACTCTGAAGAATCTGCCGCGCTAAGTATTGCCAAGACAGATCTGGCGAAAAGCCCAAGATGGTGACGATATCCCTGACTACACATAGAGAACAGTTCCTAGCATTTAATAATGAAAACTTAGATCTACGTATATTCACAACTTGGATAATCTCCCACGCCAGGGATATTGGGTCTGTGACGGAACACTTGATACCACCACAATGGGAATTATGGGATACCAGCTATACACGCTACACGTGATCGCTGATGGTTCCAGAACCGTGCCGTAAAAGAAAAGACCGCAAAACGTACGACCGCATATTCCATTCCATTTCCATAACGATGGCCGACAAACCTCCAATTTCATGCAGTGATGATTGACTTCGTTGTTGCAATAATATTTAGCTAGGACACTATTTGAACTTATCATAATTTTTTCAACAAATTTTATTGAAATAATTTACCCATCCTCTCCAAAAACCCGCTTATCGACAAATAGGTTTAAATAAATGAACAAATTTTAGTATTTTTCAGTTGGAAAATATATCATGCGAAGTTCATTGTATCAATTCCTTTTCGTATTTCGTGTTAAGCCGGTTTTCCACTAGCGATATTTTTCGCGCGAACGACAGTTTACTTTTGTTTCAACTGCAACCATCTGGAACAAATTGCTCAAATACAAAGGAATAAAGCCGCTTCGCGCGAAAAATATCGCTAGTGGAAAACCGGCTTTAGGTTATTTGTTTGAAGCGAAGTTCGAATGTTTCTATATGTTGTTCTTTTGAAATAATTCGTGGATGTTAAAGCACCTTTCGCAATGAATTTCTAAAATCCCACAACAGTCCTAGTATCCATTGCACTTATCAATATATATACTATACATTTAGTGTTTGAAACTTTCTATTTCTGAGGAAAGTGGATTAAAGCCTTCACAGCTGTGAGAATCTCATCCATCTTATCAACGCCTGTAAGAGGAAAAAAAAGTTGACGACAACGGCGAAAATAATCTCTTTCAATAAGGTACAAGAAAAGAGGTACTTAACGTATGTTTTAAATCGGTGGCTTTTATACAGTATACTGTAAGGTTATTAAGGTTGACGAGCTAGAGTCGGCTTGGAGGAGTTCTATAGCGGCCAAATTAGAAATTAAACTTTATTGTTTTTTTAATCTGTATATGCAGAAGTGTTTACATGCAGCAGCGTGCTAAAAATTAATTATGACTATTACAACAGCGAATCAGTTGTCTAAGCTCTATATGCCGAAACATGCATGCAAGACTATATCCAGGCTGCATGCAGATAAAAACTTCACATGACTTTCAATGTAATTGTGGGAAATTCGGATCGTGCCGTGAATAGTTCGGAATTTGCGATGCACGGCCATGCACTGTTTAAGTAGGAGATCTACATACAGGTCGTTTTCGGATATCCAAAATATGCAAAAAGCTTTATCGTATTGCCAGAGATAACAAAGAACACAGAGGTAACAAGCTGTATATTGAAGATAACTACAATCATGGTAAATATGCTGATAAGGGAGAAGAACCACCTAAGGGAGAAGACTCACCTAACAAATCGTAAAGCTGGGAGACTAGCGACTGAAAGGCAGGAAAAAATTCGTCGTATTCTTCAAGACGTTTGATGATACTATATAGACAAAAAGCAAAATTTTAAAGAAAACTCTACAATACCATGCTATACAAGTGGAACGTTGCTTTAATGATTTGAGTTTGGGTATTATGGTCTGCTTTCGAACGACGTGCATGGAACAATAGAAAGTCCCGTTTGGAACAATTCCAATTTGAAAGTGCGTGGCGGGCATTTGATAAGAGAGTTCATATAAACGAAACCATATTATTTTCGATCGGATCGACCTTGGATAGAATTTCGAGACGTTTTTAGTTTTCTTGTATATTTGCGGCATTAGCTGAACCTATCTATTTAATCTTTGAACTAGACTATTATATACATTACCCAGGTAAGTCCTGGAATTTCAAATAGTGCTTTGCTGTTTGAATCTTTCCAATCGCGTTGACGATTTCAATGGAATTGGCATTCGGCGCTGTAAGGATAAAAAACGTATAAATGTCACCAAACTTTGTAGGGTATGTATAGCGTCCTGTACGAAGACATCACTACAGGGTATACATGCATGGATTGAATATAGAGTGATGTACATATATAGGGAGAAATGTAAGGTTCTTATATTGCCATTGAAATTGGCATTTCGGCGCTGGCAAAAGAATACATTTATATATATATATATATATATATATATCATTTATATATATATATATATATATATATATATATATATATATATATATATATATATATATATATATATATATATATCTTGGCAAACGAGCGTGCATGTCATTGACAGAAACACGCGGTTAAGAATAAACGTCTGATCCCAAAGTTGGATTTGCCTTTGAGCAAATATTAACATATTACCTAAATCAAGTGTTTCTCTGATGGTCTTCATCACATTAAGTGTCTCTCCAACTCTGGTGTAAACTTCATTCATTCTTGGAAATACACCACTGATACTTTTGACATCAAACAATTTCTGGAAATGTGCCACAATGCCCTTCAACTGTTCCATCGAAGCAGGATCGTCTTCTCGTAAATCAAAAGCTTTAACTCGGTCATCGCTCATTGTGATCTTCTCTAAGGCTTTTCTTATATCTTCAACACTAGGATCGTTCTCGCTACCTTCATTGAACAAGTCGTTAACAGGTTTCCACGGAAAAAGGTTCTGAGATAAGCGTGTTATCTCTTCCTTTACTGCCTAGAAAATACAAACTGGATATAATAATTGTATAGAACAAACTTATAAATCATTTGAGAACAAAAGGATGTCATCAAATATCAAAGTGTTAAAGAATGTCTTGCATATCGCGCGCGGATAAATATCACTAATAGAGTTTTCTTGCAATGTTGGTAATTGCCCTCTCATCAATAAAAAATTGTCTCCAATACACCCTAGCCTTCAAGGGCCCGACCCATCAAACTGACTCACCTTCAAGTTCTTTATTTCACTTGACCACTTTTTGAGTGTCGGTAAGATTAGTTTCCAAGCTTTTTCACAATAAACGGAATGGTCACGAGGTTCTGTGCTGTCTGATATATCATCAAGCAACTGATATGGAACGTTCTTTACATCTATCACTTGCAAGATTTTGCGTATTAACTAAACGGGAAAAACAAAGGTGAACAGTGTTCCACAAATTAAACCCTCCACTACTGTGTGGATAAATCTTAAGATCGATAGATAGATTTTAAATTCCTATGGGATTCCTGCCGGTGTACAATGTAAAATTCATTTATATATTGACTACTGATATATATTGCATTTTGGTAACAGATTGAACTATGCATGTTTCAGCAAAATTTGAAATTTGAATTTTGGTTGTAAAAATAAACTCACCGCTTCCATCTTCTTCTGTGACTCACTAAGAGTTACGAGGGAGTCTAAGAGTGGGTTGATTTCTCTCAAGTCATTGATGTTTAATCTGGTGCATATTCGCTGCAAAATGACAGAATATTTTTGATCTCATCACGAGAGTTTGCATAATCGATGAAGTAGAGAAATTCTTCCATGACTGTACGACAGCAGGCAATTACCTTGATATACTTTCTGCAGACATCGATGGGCAGAAAATCAATATCTTTAACCTGTTGAAAGTATAAAAGTTCTTCAATGGAACCAACCCATTTAACTTGAATCAGTGCACCTTGAAATTTAATTCTAAGGCTTATGGGCTGCGCCATGGGAAAAACAAATTGAAACTCGTCCTGCAACATCACGACGGCTGCGTCGTAGATTTTTAAAATTCGGTCAAAATGTGCGTCAGGCCTACTAAGGTAGAAGTAGAACGTCACACTTCTGATGCGCCAAACGCATTAAAAACAATAGATAATGAGGGATTTCATACTGTCGCAAAATATTGTTTAGAGTGAAATAAATATAAATGCACGGTCATGCAAGTGACGCAAGTTTAATCTTTATTCATTATATGTATATACCAATGGTGTACATACATGTGTTTTGTGTTTGACTGATTTCTTCCTCTCGTTCATATCTTTAGTTCTTTTAGTTGAGATACTGCAGCAAGAAATATTAATTATGGTAATTCTAGTTATTGGTTTGCAACGTACGTACAGTATTTACCAAATGTCGTATCAATGAATTAGCTTTTTCAAAAGCTCTCTGGATATTTGAATTTAAATTTCACTCTGAGCCTAAGTTTTTTTATGTATTTCGTCTGATTGCAACGTTCGGACAGGGTGATCTACTAAAGCAATGTCTATAGCTTCTTGCCTCAAATTGTTTTCCATAAGAATCCGCTCTAGCTTTTTGTTGTATTTCCAAGCCTTTCTCCATTCATCCAAACCCGGTCTAAAATAAAGGATGCGTTGTTCAATTTTACAAAATTTAAACTAGATGCTATTGGTCTTCGTAGTGAAAACCTCAACTTACGTATGATTGTCGTTACTATAATGATATCGTGGAGAATTAGCTCCTGCAAGGAGTCAAGCCGCGTGCAATTTACACTGACATACCCACCTTATAAAGCAACAATACAATTACCTTTTTGTTAGTTCTGCTTTTAATTTATTATTTTCATCTTCTAATAAATCAATCAATTTCTTCGATTCTTCCACGTGTCTTTCAGTCGTCTAATGAATGGGATGGAATAAGCGCGTTACTCGGACACGTTTGCACAATCTACACTCGCTTGAATCTATCATACGACAAGCAACTTAGTTATGAGGGAGTTTATACAGGAATGTTTTAGTAAATGGTGATCGTTTGTCATTAATCATTAATCGATTCTCTGTTTCAGTAGCAATCCTAGCATATTTGATATTCTTGTGATGTTGCGATAGATGTAAATCATCTAAAAATTTGGTTGATCCCAATTTTATAGAAATGGAAACCAGAGTCGGATAACCCGTTAGCTTGTTTATCTGCCTGCGAATGTTGAGTACCTGGCGACGGCGCAAATTACCTTTAATTTCTTTTGAAGAAACTTAGAGTTTGGCGCAAGGCTGATCTTACTAGCTTTTCCTTCCAAAACTTGTTCACTTTGTAGAGTTTCAGGCGTTGATTCAAGATTTTTAGGAGTCAACCGTCCCATATCATCCAGCTCACTAGCGGTGGTCGGTGAGTCTTGGTCGATAGGATGATCATCATCAAGATCTTTCTCCACAGCATGACTTGCCTTGCTCTCTTGACTAGACAAACAATAACAGAGCTTTGCAATTAAAGATGACCGCGAAAAAGCTGGTCTTCATCATGGACCATCTTAAGTGGAAAAACATTCCTACAGGTTTTCCTACGAAATGAGGAAAGATAAAAGGAACAACTTCCTGAAAATATATTTGCGAAGGAGTTAGTTAAATCTTTAGTTTTAGAAGATCCCTAAGCTGGTTGTTTTAGGGAAGGTTCTGGGGGAATTTTTGCCTCCAAATCGTTTTAAAAATCCCAAAGCGTACCTGTTGGACTCATCGTTATCAAACCTGTGCTGTGGAAATGTAGAAGTCTTCGTCTGTCTCTCCTTTTCCTAAGAAAAATAATTATACAAACTATATTTCCCTATGCATATCATAATAACCACTCGACACATTTATATTATTTTGGGGGGGGGAGGATTATTCGGGTTATTTTCATCAGGAGGGCCATGACCATCATGTTTCCACAGACTCTATGATACGCGAATAATACTTGTAGTACAAACCAATGAAACCAATTCCTGATTTTGATATTGTAGTTCAACAATCTTTTGCTCCATTTCAACACATCTTTGTTCCAGGAGGTCGCAGTTTGCTTGAAGGTCAGCCTTAGCGATGCTTGTTGCTTGCATTTCCTCACCATGACTTCGTACTTCATCCAGACGTTTTTGTTCGAGTTCCTTGAAAATATTTCAAAAACAAACAACGCAAAATTAACAAATCCAGAACCTTTTCAGCTTCAAACGAACCCACAAGAAACATGCATGCATGTATATATACATATAAGAAATATATCTACCTGAATTTTTGATTGTTGGGACTTCAGTTCCTTACGAAGTCGACCAACCTTAGAAAAAAAACACTTCACACTTTATATTTTTTTCGCTTTAATGAAAACGTTAACTTGTGCATTAACTTACCTCTCTATCATAACGATACGCTTTGTCACTTTTTTCATTCACTTCCTCTCTGAAATAGAAATAAGAAAATACTGATGTACGTTTTCGATTGGTATCACTGATATGCATACCAGATTAATGTATTTATATTTAACAGCTCCAGGGATAAATGTATATAACTGTTGATCGAGTATCAGGGTTTACTACACCAGTAGACCATGCATGGGTACTGCCGAAGCACCATGAATTTAGTACTTTTAAAGTAACCAAGCCCAACTACATATCAATTCCCGTTGGCTCATGGGGAAATGTGCTCCTCTTATACACTTACTGTAACTTATTTGAAGAAGTGATAAGTTCTTGAACTAATGCTTGACGTCGCTCACAATCATCTAAGAGTTTCTCAATCGTATTTCTCAACATGTGAGCTTCAGCCTCGTCGAGAAAAACACCTAAAAATAAACACTAAACGTATGCAGTATACCAAAAAAGACGCAGGCATTGAGATAAAACGTACCCGGTGGCATGGAATATATAACTTACGTTATACTTTCGTAGTTGTGACACAAGTACAAAAACTATTCAATTTTTTGTTGGAGTAAAGGCAACAAATATTCTAGCCATTGTGTTGCTTGAACTGCTAATGCACCCAAATTAATGTTCTTTATGTTCTATTACTGATTGAAACGGCAAACTCCAACCTTTAATCCTGCATGCAGGCTTACTCTTACCAAACAATGGCTTTACTAACAGAGAGAAATGAGACTGAATGTATTTAGCAGTTTTACCTGACTGAGCCTCCGAGACTTGACTTGGGGGTGTTGGTCGAATTGAACGAAACCCGTGCTGTTTTAAACGATTGTTAACATTTGTCCAGTCTTCTGCTCCCTCCTATAATAAATGTATTAGATACAAACATACAAATAAATATACCCACAATAGACCTTGGAGGTGCTTACGTCACAGGACTGTCAAACAATAAATTGCAATCCAATGTGGGAAACATGTAGAAAAAATTAACCTCATTTAAACCTCGTTTACATAGACTGAAAACTGTGTGACGCAAGCACCTCTAAAGTCTATTAGAGGTCTTGCCAGTTAGATTTTATATTTTTCTGATAAAGGGGCGAAATGCGATAATTAACAATGGCCTAGGCGGTTATTACCGGGACCGGGGTGTACCCCTCTCCTTGTTAATGTAATTCTTCAGTATTATACGGTATAGCTGAGCAAGAATAGATTTACTTACAAAATACTCATTATGACGTTGGTCCGCGTCATTTGAATTTTCTGTTAAGGAAAAAAATTGTTTGCACGTTTTAGGGCTGTTGCATAGCCACCTTCATTAGCTTTAAAAATTAGCTTTAAAAAATTAGCTTATTTGGGAGGGGGGTCTTCAACTTAACAACAAACTAATCGCACTTTCCATAAAGTATATGAATTTCTTTATTTGGCCGAGGCGTGGAATTGACGTCATGACTTTACAAAGGGTGGCACAATTCTATTTCTTAAATCACCTGGGTCTGGTTGCCCATTCCCTAGCTTTTGTATAGTAATGTACCGGGTAAGTGAAAAAAACAACTATTTGATGAAGGAGAAGCGTATTCAAACAGCTTCGCACGTGGCGGCAGAACAGCTGCCTAAAATTGACAAAAGAACTTCTCGACGTTTCGCCGGAACTGATTCGCTAACTGAGAGAAGAAGAGGACCCTTACGACAGTTAAAATTATGCATCTATTGTTAAAATTTGAATGTCTTAGCAGTCAGCTTATAAAGCACAAGGTTCCTAAGGGTCCTTGCATGGATGTGTAAACAATGGATAAATGCATGAAAGAGCAAAGTGGCGTAATATTTTCAACTTGTAAGCCTTTAATCTATTGTTCCTACGAATTGTGATGAATACATCTGCAAATAACACACTCAAACGTGGAGCATAATTGAATTGAAATGATGCATTCGTTTAATAGATATGACATGATTGTGATGTATTCTGGCGGAATTAAACAGAAGCTTTTCAAAATTCCTATAGGAAAGCATAATGCGTTTTTTTCAATATGCCGTATTTAACGTGTTCCGGCGGGTATTAACGACGACAACAATATGAGTTGGAATATATTCAATATTCTATTGTTTTTAATTTTTTCATATACCTTGTATGCGGCACACGTGAAATTCGGCGTTAGAAAGTTGAAACGGGTCTCATTAACTTTCCGGCAACAAGACACAATCAAGCTTTTAGAAAGAAACCTGATTTTGAGGGAGCCAGTCGAGGCTTAATAGGAGCAATAGAAATTTTTGCGTTAGAACGACATAAAGTTGGTGGAGAAACGATAACCGGCTGGTCAATCAGCTACAGAAGTATAATATTGGAAGCGAGGAATTGAGCGATGATTTGCAGAATAATAAACGCATAGGTCTACTTTATAACAGCTTTTTTGAGGTAATCAACTTCCTTCTTTTAAGATGTGAATCAAAACGTGATACTGTATGTAATTGTTCGCTAGAGCTCACGAGTACTCAGTAGCCAGGTTTTAATGTTTGCTTATGACTATGTCTATGTGCTTTTTGTGCATGATATTACAGCTAGCAGAATAAAGACAGGTTTATTCCAAGGAAGCTATTTTTCATCTTGAAGAATGGGTTTGCAGAGGGTGTTTTAAGGCATAATTTACTTAAAATGTTGTGATTGAAATACCAGTTTATCATTTATGAATTTGCAAAATAAGGCATTCTAAGTATGACAGTATAGAGTAACAGTAAGGGCAGATTCCTTGATCAAACAAAATTTTCTTGATTTTTCTCAACATTTTTTTTCATTGATCAGTGATCTGTCAAGTGAATGACAGCAGAGTAGATAAATTTTACCCCCCTCCCTCATTGCTAACAAAGGCATTTTGATCCAGACAGAAAATAACTACAGTACCCAAAAAATCTGCATCAGTTCCAGAAACTTGTTTGGAGTTATCTGTCGGGCTTGAAGTTGCCTGCATAAAAATACAACCATATACACTAAAAGTGGCAATATGTAATAGCAATATTATTAGCAAATATATCTCATAGGGGCAGAAGGAACTAAGTTAAGCTGCAAATTAAAATGTCTTCTTTCTTCTATTTTACACAGTTGATGAACTGATTTAACTTGACTGGTGATAGCAAGGTTGATAATGCATCAGAAGTAGATTTAAGTGAAAAGCCAGTCCTAAAGACAGCAACTGCTAAAAACTAGCCTTCTCTATCATTAATTCAGAGTGACTATTTATATCTATAAAGAAAGCTGTTATGTTGACAGTCTTGTCATTCCATATAATATATGACAGGTATGAATTAGAAAATGCTATTGCTTGACTTCAGAACATAAGAGAAGGGAGAAAATCTTTACTATTTGGTAACCTTGCCAACATTTATGGCTGGGGGAAAATTTGACGAGAATTCCGTAACCATAACAAAGTGAATAAACCGTCTCAAATGTCACATAAAAAAACGCCATAAAACCTGAGTGCTGAACATGTTTTTAAGCCCTAATTAAGCCAAAACTGTTCCCTTAACGTATATATACAATGCAAACAAAAAATATGTAGAACCTGTGAACTTTCTTGCCAATCATTTATCTTTCCTCGAACAGAATCGTTATCGTCAGTGCCTGCGGAGGACGCCATCTTGAATATAATTCTTGAAAAAATTCAAATTTTCCGCGCGACAATTTGTCGACAAACCTCCGCAGTTTTGAAAATTATCGGAAAACATTCGCGAAATAATATCGGGTAGTATCGGTGCCTGAATTTAAATTGAGCGGGAAATAGCGGGAAGGCATTTGATTGGCCCAAACTGCATACTCCGGAAATTCGACAGATGTTTGTAAGTGTTTTGGTCTTTTGGACTTTATAATAACCACGACTTGTGACCACGAGGAAAGTTTTTTTTACAGCGAAAGTTTTTTACAGCAAAGATGTCCAATTCAAAAAGAAATCTCGGTATAAACATCTATTTTATATGTAACATACGTCGAAATACTTTATATGTTCTTTAACTTTCTTCAAAGTTCAAATAGTTTGATAATCATGACTGAACAAATTCAATGAGCAGCATTTACTGTCTCACATCCATTTTCGAATCGACTAGATTTATTGAAATGTTATTCTAAAATGTAGAAATATTTAGATCAACATTAGTTGTGTATCCACTTTGTCTTAAAAAAGCTTGTCGTTTTAAAAAATGTTTACCATGAACTCGACCTTACTCTGAGTAGTGAGAACGAAAAGGAATGAATAATGAGTATTAAACATGCCATTCCCCATCTATGTCAGATGACTTCTGTTGTAAGTCATCTCTTTAAAAAGCTAACAAGGCCATAATAGGCCATCATCCTTTACACACTCCTTAAAGTTAGGTTTATTCCTTTTCCTATTAGCATTTGGCATTCCCCCATTCCCTTGACCCTTGTATTATTTTTATTGTGTTAAATAATATCATATATTTGTCTTTAAAGCAATCCTTAGTGTCTCAAATAAAAAAGGCTTGGTTGAATTTGCAAAAAAGCTACAAAGCTTTGGATTAGAATTGATTGCCTCTGGGGGTACAGCCAAAGCAATAAGAAATGGTGGTGTTACAGTTAAGTATGTAAACAATAAAATTAATGAACATTTGTTTTTTGATGGTATCCAAGGAGAATAGAGAGTAATATATAAAATAATTTCTCTTTCACACAATATAGGGATGTTTCTGAGCTAACTGGAGCTCCAGAAATGCTTGGTGGCAGAGTAAAAACTTTACATCCTGCAGTGCATGCAGGTAAGATAAATCTTATCCTTTTTGCCTCATTCGTGCCACTCTTGAATTTTTTTGTCAAATTTGAGTTTTGTGAAATATTTTAATTTTTTTTTTGACTATATGAATAAATTATAGCATGCATCCTAAAATGCTCCAATTTTTAACATGTTTAAAAATCACTGATCTATTTAATAGGCATTCTTGCAAGGTTGAATGATGCTGACAAAGAGGATATGAAAAAACAAAACTTTCAATATATCAGGTATAAATCATGTTTAAAATGGAAAAATGGATTGTAAACAAGTGTGGTATAACATTGCCTACATTGATCATGAATATGTACAATGTGACCTGTAAAGTATTGTACATGTAGATACACAATGATTAGCTGAATACATGTGAACTTACGCCATCCCTGTTGTGGACAAGAGTGAATTTTTAAATTTGGGTGGGGAGAGAATGCAGAGAATCCTTGTGTCAGTCACAAGGATTGTACAACTACAATTTTCATTTTATAGCGTGGTTGTATGTAATCTATATCCATTTGAAGAAACCATATCAGAAGATGGCGTAACAGTGCCTGAGGCAGTGGAACAAATTGACATTGGTAGGTACATAACTATAGGTATGCAAACTAACAATACATCTTGAAAATATTGCATGTTGGTGCATACTTCCATTTAAGAATGAAACAATATGTGAATACTGATACAATGCTCATGTTAATGCTTCTATTTTCTTGCTATGCATGTACTAACTATGCAACATTTCATTTAAACTGCAATAAACAGACCCTGGTAGATTGAAGAAGCCAAATAGGTCTGAACCTTGTTTTTGAACTAACATGTACCTTCACAAGCCCTATAATATATATTTTATGAAATGCAGTACATTTGAACAGGGAAATTTAGCTCTAACCGGTAATGTGGACCAAAGGAAAGATTGTAATTTTTGTCAATTTTTTGCGCATTAAGCGCAATGTTTCCGATTCGGTTGGAAAACCATTCCTCTTTCTGCGATGAAGACGGTGTTTTCAGAAATAAGGCTAATTTCCAGGAAGGATTATAACAAGCGAATGTCATGGCAAGGATACTGGTATGTGTATTTTCTATATATTCCAGGTCTTATGAGATACTTTGTGTATAGGTGGTGTAACGCTGTTGAGAGCCGCTGCTAAGAATCATGCGAGAGTGACTGTGGTTTGTGACCCCTGTGATTACGACAGGTAAGGTGTGACCTCAGCCACGTACTGTATACTCGAAGAATATTCACTGCAGGTCAGATAAAACGTTTAAATTTAGAATTACTGGTTGGTGTGTGAAAATATGGGCGATCGGAAGGGGTGTTTTTAGGAACGTTTCATGACAATACATTAGATGCGTATGATAATGCGTCTCAACTGTCTTTTGCGACATCGATCGAACTCGACGGGTCATTTTACTCATTTATACTTTCCCCTGGCAAGGCCTTCCATACAAAACAGCGCTCAACTGTTTGTAATACCCTTTTTGAAAACGATTTTCAGTAGCTAGCTATATAACATGAATTATATATGTTTAACTAATTTAAGAGTTGCAACGGAAATGTCTTCCAATCCAAATGATGGTGTTCAAGAAGAAACTAGGAAGATGTTAGCATTGAAGGTGAATATACTTATGTACAGTAAATGTTACTCATCGCCAAAAATAGTTCGCTAATGGCCGGCAGCACTTATGGCTATATATGTAGCTACATGGACGAATCTGCACAGTTCAAAGAGCATTTCATGAATTCATCAAACATTTACATATACTTCAAGTATATGTCTTTAACTACAGGCATTTACCCACACGGCTGAATACGACAATGCTATCTCAGATTACTTCAGAAAAGAGTACAGTCTTGGAGTGTCGCACATTCCACTCCGATATGGTATGAATCCTCACCAGACTCCCGCGCAGCTTTACACGACTGATACACAGTTGCCTGTAAAAGTGGTCAATGGGTCGCCCGGATTCATCAACCTCTGTGATGCTTTTAATTCGTGGCAGCTTGTTAAGGTACTGTACGAAAAGACGAATTGTACCATAGACAATCCAAAAGACATGTCTTTTGGATTGTCTATAGATGATTGTACCCATTCTATGGTGGCCATTGTAAGATCATTACGGAGAACAGGGTACATCAGTACATCAGAGAGAATGGATCAAAGAGGGGAATTAAGAGATTCTGCTGTTGTTCTGGGAGGAGTTGTCTAAAATTACTACACAAATACGTTGAATTTAAAAGATTTTACGTAATATGTTATTATTTTCCCAAATAGATAACACTGCAATGATGTTCCCAATAATTGAATGTTGAAGGTAACGTTTTCTTTAGGAATTGAAAGAGGCTTTAGATCTACCTGCTGCAGCATCATTTAAACATGTCAGTCCAGCGGGAGCTGCCGTTGGTGTTCCTCTAAGCCACGAGCAAGCTAAACTCTGCATGGTAGATGATCTTTATGACGTTCTAACACCTGTGGCTACAGCTTATGCTCGAGCACGAGGTGCAGATCGCATGTCGTCATTTGGAGACTGGGTAGCATTGTCCCATGAATGTGATAAAACTACCGCTAGGATATTGTCGAGAGAGGTAAGTCTTTGCATCAATGTTTGCTAAGCAATGGAAAACTTGCGCAAATATAATGCATTTTTCGTAACCCGAAGCTGAGGGATTTGTGAGCTTTTTTGCACGTCTTAGTCTAGTTGCTTGCCGTTTAAAATACGATTATTTGATTCAGGTGTCAGATGGAATCATTGCTCCTGGATACAGTGACGAGGCTCTGGAGATACTAAAGAAGAAAAAAGGAGGGAAATATTGCGTACTACAGGTATACTGTACGTATGTGCCCCTGCTATTTTACAAAACCAATTATGTATTGGAAATGGACTTCTAGGAGCTTTAAGCTTTTTGCCGAGCTTTTTTGTAGTCCGGTGACGGTGGTGATCAAATCTAACCAACTGTTATTGCTGTAATTGAAAATCCATTTGTATATTTTATTTTAACCATTAGATCAATCAAAATTACGAACCCCCGTTATCAGAGACACGGACCTTATTTGGTCTTAAAATGGAACAGCTCCGAAACAATGGAAAAATTGAGAAGAGTATATTTCAAAATGTCAGGTCGAAACGAAAAGAGGTGAAATATACATTTTTCATTGAAGTGTACATACAGTTATGTAATTTAAACCAATATCTTTGCATTTGTTTTCAGCTTCCTGAAGAAGCTCTACGTGATTTAATTGTTGCGACAGTGGCACTGAAATACACCCAATCAAATTCTGTTTGTTATGCTAAAGACGGACAGGTCAGTGGAATTGCAAAAGCAGAATATCTATTGCAACTACAAAACGTCAAAAGGTTAAAAAATTTTAACCACCCAGCTTTACCACGCATAAAAATAATACATATAAATATTGCGATGATAAAATGATTTGTTTTATTCATTAATCCTGGTAATCTAAAGTGATGTGTTTATTCATGTTTATGAACCGTCAACGACCACCATCTTAAAAAGGTCTAAAACATCTTATTATCGCTTGAGATGTATACTTTTAGTTTAGTTTCAGTTATTTGTTTTTTTCACAGGTTGTTGGAATTGGTGCTGGCCAACAATCTCGTATTCATTGTACTCGATTAGCTGGCGATAAAGCAAATAATTGGTCAGTGTATAATTAGTGCACTTTCTTTGCTTACCCCTGCCTGTATATTTCAGTATATTTCCTTTGTAATAATAACCGGTACAATTCACGTTGCAACCTTTTGCTGCCTTTAACTTTATGTATACTACGTTAATTTTGATTATTAATGTTTGCAGGTGGTTGCGACAACATCCAAAAGTTCTTGGAATGAAATTTAAAGCGGTAGAAAAACCTGTTTTTGCGTGAATTAAGAATTTTGAGGTTTAAGCATCGTAGTGTTGAGAAATTTTGGAGAATAGAAAATGTTGTATGGTACTGCTTTTATGCGAAATACGGTCTGACATATTCCTGACAAAGCTCCTAGGTTAAATTGTCGAGAAGTGTTTTGTCTATCCGAAGAGATGTCCTTTTTACAAAGTCCTTATAAATATATCTGGGGTTTTTTCTTCCAAGGGTGTCAAGAGAGCTGAAAAGTCTAATATTATAGATGTATATGTAAACGGAACAGTTGGTCAGGTATGGTTTAGTTAATGTTGTTGACGATAGTTAACTAACCTCAAACGAAGATTTTGGAGAGATTCTAGTTCATTGCAGGAGTTTTATTCCACTGCCCCCCCTCTCCCTAGCTGTCGACTTGGATGACAGCATATACATGATGATGAAAGAGAGTGAATGTTTGTTTTCTTGTCTTTTAAGGATATGAAACGTAGTGCATGGGAATCTATGTTTGATGATCCTCCATCAGATTTAACAGCAGTATGTATTACAAGTATTTTGCATGAGTTGTCATTGTTAATACTTCACTTTGCTTAATAATGTAAATATAATATCGTCAAACTTTAGGAGGAGAGGAAAGAATGGCTGAAGACTTTGAAGGACGTGTCTCTGAGTTCTGATGCGTTCTTTCCGTTTCGTGACAACATAGACCGTGCTGCTCAGGTAAGTGTATTTGTGCAAACCGTGAAACACGTATACATCACTGGATTAATACCGTCTCAATAGACGGTTTTCGGCTGTATGGTGTAAAATAATAACTGGACTTCAATAGTTGTATAATAGTTCAACCAGAACTACATTTGGAAGCTCCAGGAAGAACATGCCGGTTAGGCGTTGTGGGTTTAAGTGGTGGTGAGAACAAATTAGCCAATTGCATGCGATTAAAACGAAGTATGAATGCTATTATGATTTATGAATGCCTTTTCAACTGGCTTCTTTTTGTTAGAGTGGCGTGGAATACATTGCCAGTCCCGCTGGATCTGTTGCTGACGACGTCGTTGTTGAAGCTGCTAACGAACATAATATTGTCATGATTCACACAAACCTACGCCTTTTTCATCACTGAAACGGCGTTGGAATGATTTTTCTGTGTGACGATAAAATGGCTAACAGCTAAGTCAATCAGACTTTAATACAATCCTATTCGTATAGATCAGAGTATAGATAAGACATTAACAGAGAATATTATATTATTAAACTAGTGCGTGCAGCTAAGAGTAATACACATAGCATATATACAGAAATTTTATTTTCACATGCATTGTCATTGAAGTTATTAGTAAGTGTTTGGTTTGGTGTTTATAAAATGGTGGATACCTATATATATTGCATTCTTAATTTTTTACTGTGAATCACTAATGTATGATAATAATGCTTTTCTTTGTTGCTGGTTCCACAAGTCACTTGGCATGCTATTGTTCCTGGACAGTGTGAAGTTGTCACGACAATATTTTGTGCACTTGAATCAGATAGTATTTGATACCCTGTTTTATTACAACTCTAGTTTAGAGTTTCCTAGTTATGATAACAGTTGCTCACAAGCCCTACATGCTTGTCATGTCATTTTAGTGTGAATATGAGGTCAATGGTGCACTGTCTATTCCTGTTCTTTGACTGAAGGTGGATAAAATCTTGTGTTCTTTAGAGAACATCTGCAATAAAACCAAGACATAAATACACCATTTTAATACTTCACCACAAATAAAATACTTTGTGAATCTCTCTCGATTGTAAAATTTATTAGGCAAGGTTATTATATAAGGGTGTATTATTCCCAAATACCTATAGAACAGCATATTAATGTAATCACATGTCTTTCTCAAGTGCTAAGGTGTTGTGATGAATGTGGATAAAAAAGAAAGGGGGGTTAGGGGCTGCAACTGCATGCCCCTAGCTGGCTTGCACCTTTTGCCAGTTCTTTCTGTTGGCTTACCAATTTCCAGTCTTCTTTTGTGCCATGTTTGTAACCCAATAAATGACATATTCCGTGAGTCACATAAACCTTGTGAACCCAAAAACAAAGTTTGTTGTTAAGTAGAAAAAAATAGCACTTCAGCAACTTTTTCAAAGCATTTAAATCTAATTTGCAAATACTACTTTTTCCAACTTTGTTACTAGTCTTCCACGCTATATTATTATTGCACATACTGGTAAAGAATCTTGAAAATCTGTTCCCTCTGATGCACATTGACCTTTAATTACAGCTGGGCATAAAAATATATCTCCAAGGCAGTTGTCATATAGTAGTGGCTCTGAAGAGAATTGTCCAGGAACAATAGGATCCTAAACAGCCAGTTAAGCTAGCTAAGTTTGAAGTAATAGTACAGTACCACACTGACACTATACATATTGACACTTTCAAGGTCTATTGTGTGAAATAATGACATACAAACGCAGTTAATGATAAAAACAATCAATACCACGATACAATTCCCATGGGAAGCATGAATACCACGGTCCATGCAACAGTACAGTTTTTATAATTTTAAAAAGTTAATAGGGATTTACAGCACATTTATTATGCCTTACTTGATTTGGAAATGATAAAACGTCTGTTGGTCTCCCAACATTGCGATACATCATGTTCATTCTTTTTATCCTAAATTTACTAACACAAATCACGCCTAAGCTGTAATTCTTTATTTCAAATATATTCACTAAAATGGACACATGACTTCGAAGACGTTCAACACTAAATGGAACAGATCTTTGAAGATTTCGTACCACAAAGGACATTACCTTCGAATTTCGGCTACATTATAATATTACATGAAGTATAGCAGGAAGCGGTTTGCTTTTAAAAAACAAAAACATTTATAAAGCAAATTTTCAATCTTTTTTTCAATAAGCAAAAGTTATACAAACTACAGAACAGATAAATATGGGTAAACCAAAGAAGAAGAAGAATAAAGCTGGTTGGTATATTACTCTTATACATGTTTGCATATTCCAGTAAAATTTATTAGTTTTTACGGTCAAAGACATTGCCATATTTATAGCTAGATTTTTGCCCCTAATAGACCACGTGTAAAAGACGCCTTGTCACAGTATAAGATATATGGCATAGAGTAGGCCTTATAATGTGTCCCCGACTAACAGACTTGCTTTACAACGTGTCCGCGATTTTTTGCAATCTGGCCAGTGTTAAACCAGAGAGTGAAAGTGTGAAACCAAATTAAATGTGTGATTGCCAGAAGGCTTATAATTAACATGTCATTGACTGGCCAGATTAAGGGGGGACAAGTAAGAATATACACGAGGAATAGTTTTTAGATCAAGATCAGAAGTTTCATTTCTTTTCAGAATCCTGCATGTTGAGGCAATTAAATCCCTTGTCCAGGATTGTCTCATGTATCGCTACTTACCAATCAGATTAAAAGTGTAATTAGCTTTAAGCCTTTAATAAATGTGCTAACTCTGATTACTTGAGGTGCAAAATATATATATAGAGCAATTCAAAAAAGCAATATTGTCAGGTCTCTGTAGGTCTCTCTGAGGGTGCTTTACAAAGCTACGAGTTCATTAAGTTATCACATATAATAAACATGATGCCAAGAGTAGTATTGCATTATATTTTGCCAAGTAAATGTACAGTAACTGACATTCACTCATACTTTAGTAACCATAATTTTCAGGTGCTAAAGTTAAAAGCAAGAAGAAAGATGAGAGTTTGAATGGACTGAACTTTTCAGTTGATGACCTACTTGAAAAGGTTTAGTTAAACAAATTTTTTCCTGCTTGACCAAGGTGCAATTCTCACTCCTTTCATTAAGTCAGTGCAACCTCAGCATAAATGGTTAAATTACCAAGCATTTGTATCTAAGCAATTTGAGATTTATGTAAAGAAAAAGTTTGGTCTAGGTTTTTGACTGTAAATTAGGTTCTGACCATGTTCATGTGGGTCGGGCAGGACAAAAGCATGGATGTGAGATTTTATATATTATAATTTTATGTATTACTTAGTGTTTTCTTCTTGTGCCATTGTGCTAGCTTCTTAGAGCTTGGTACCGCTTTATTTTTGCACAACTAGTAAGTGTGGTACATCGTACATTTAGTACATTAGTACTCTTAGGTTGTAGAATTTAAACCATCAACATTTTAATGGTCCTCTTATGCCCAAGTATAAATTTTCTAAAATGCCTAGTTTAGAAATCCTTTTGTTCTCTATATTCATAGGTGGAAGAATACATTGAAAGTTTTAATTTTGAGTTGGCTGAAAAATTTTGTGACCGTGCTTTAGAGATGTCTCCGGACAATCTTCAGGCCTTAAATATGGCAGCTTCAGTGTATCTGGAAATTGGGAAAAATGATGAAGCTGTTAATGTATCCTTTTTTCTTCAACCAATTAATGTTTAACTTGATGGTGGTACCATGTTTTAGGAATACAGATGCCAGTATAGTTAATACTGATTTATAGATATTTATAGCTATATATATATACCAATATAACCAGGGAGCAGCGTGGCAGCTTCTTCAAACCACTTAGCATCAAATGTGGTATAACAACTGCCTAAAATAGACAAAATACTTCTCAACGTTTCGACCTGAGGGACTTCATCAGGAGAGAGTTAGTTCCTACTTGTTATACCACATTTGATGCTAAGTTGTTTATATACAGTCTAAGGTTCCACCTCTGTATTGGCAATATGTTATCTCAAATAAGATGGCTATCTAGATATAGCCTTAGTTCACTATAGTTTGAACAAAACCTACATAGGGCATTAAATTCTATTCAAGTTATGATAGGTTTACAAAAATGGTACTGACAATTATTTTCAGGTTTGCTTAGTTGTGGAAAAATTGGTGAAATGTGCTTTCTCTAAAAGCTTCTATGATCTGAATAAAACTGTCAAGTTAACGTTTTTTGAGTTTTCCTTCACCAGAAGAAAAAACAGTGTCTACAGCACGCCATAGAGATTGAGCCTGAGAAAGGGTTCAGTAAATATATGACTCTTGGTGAACTTCTAGAAGGCGAAGAAGCAGTGAAGTGTTTGAAAAAAGGGGTCGAGTTGATGATTGCTGAGAAAGAATCAGGCGAAAAGGTAATCTTCTGTATTTTACCGAATATTCTGTACTCGCTCGCTCGTACTGCATGCCCTCTGCTGTATGCCTGAGCATGAGCAACTCACTACATCATCGAAATCGTCGACAAGAAACGATTTCAATGAATTTATATAAAGGTCGAGTAACACGCAGCAGCGACAAACGAGAATAGGAATTAAAGGAATAAAGGACCTATGAAGGACCAATGATTGTTCCCAAAATTTCGTAGTCGTACTAGCTTTCGTAGTGGTAACGAATCTAAAATAAAGAAACTATTAACAAACTTCAGACGATAACTACGTGTACTTGAAACTTACGTAAAAACGGACATTATATACTCTCGACTTGTTATACTGTGTATTAAAATATAATTTGCCACGTTATATTATCGCGTTTTTTTCATTCTTAATTTCTTATACTTATATACCATCAAATAAGCATTTAAATTTATTCTCCAAACAAGTGTATCTTCAATGCAGGAAAATGTGTCTAACAGTGACAGCGGTGCTGAAAAGGTGGAAATTTTAGATCGAGATATTTCAAACGCGCTTTGCTCACTAGCAGAAATATACCTCACCGATTGCTGGTATGATCCTAATTTATGTTAAATTACCAACCGCAATTTATTAATTTTATTTTTTACGTATACCTTTTGTTTTTAAAACAAATCTATAGTTTCGCAGCCAATGCGGAAACGACATGCAGGTTGTATTGTGAAAAAGCAATAGAACATGATCCAAACAACCCGGAGGCTTATCAAGTCATGGCTAATTTTCTCTTGAGTGAACAGAAAAGCGAGGTTTGTTTATTTCTCAGGGCATGAAATTACTTTATTATTGAATATTGCGAAATCACAAATATTTAGTCTATAGACAATATAGTCAGTACCATGAGCTCGAGTCGTATATGAGCTGTATGACGAGAGAAAAAATGGCATAATCCTCTTATGGTAGAGCCAGAACTTTATAAATTATAATCAATAAAAATTGTGCGAACATTTATTATAATATAAGTATGATATAACGAGCAATTTGATTGGCTACCGCGCGTGCATTGTGAGGCCATAATGCACGCTTCTGGCTTTTGAAATTTTCCCGCCTCTTGCTGAAAGTAAACAAATTATAAATTCAATATTTAAAGAACATCTTAAATAACATGTAAGGAGAATTTCATTATTGATCAAATAAATAAATTTTGTTGTTGCCCTATAATTTCTTCTTATATTATAAAAGAATTAAAAAAGCTCGTCGCGTGCCTTTATGGTGTAATAATGCACTCAAGGAACATTCTCCCATCGTGCATTATTACACCATAAAGGCACGCGACTCGTTTTTTAATTCTTAATTAAATTGTCATCAGAAATTGATCTTAAGTAGCTATCATGATCAATAAAAACGACAGTTTTCAATTCACTGGATTTTAGGAGGCAAAAGAAACTTTGTTGAAAGGATTCAATCTTTGGCATGGCTGCGATGATCCAACTTTAAAGGTTAGAAATAGATTCTGCTAGAGTAATTGCAAATTTAAACATTTGCTGCGTACTACATATTACTGAATAATGAATATTATTACTGAATAATGAATATTATTACTGAATATAGTGTAATACTATATACAGTCCAACATTTTGGTGTGAAATTTTTCAGTGCGAAGCAATTTTTCAGTCACGAATTTTTTTCAGAGTGCTAGGATGCCTTCATACGAATCAAGGATATCACTTTCAAAAATGTTAATAGAGGTGAACGAGTTGGATGTGAGTAAAAATTTATACATGAGTTGGGATTTTTAATTTTGTAAATGAATGAACTACAACGATTCTGTAAACGACTTTAAAAGTGGTCAGGGACCGATTGTACGAAAGCCAAAGTCTGTTGCAGATCGTTATTATGCTTTAAGATAATACATACGGCGGTCCTTTCAAATGATGGAAATACTGTTATTCACTGCTGTTACACATTAAAGGATGACGTCATCTGCCAACAACATAAGAGTTCTGTGGCAGATTGTGGCAGATACCTTTGATCTGTTCTTCGTTTAATTAATGCAAAAATTCTCTGCATTATATAAACATACGTTGTACAGTTTCATTGTAAACTTGCTGCTTCTTTCGTCCTTTCAATAGAATGCTTGCAGTGTGCTAGAGGAACTTTTGTCGGAAGATGATGAAATTGTTCAGGTATAATATGATCCCTGTGCAACGCATGCATATTCACTGTGCAATGCAATATTTATTTGTGCATCAATGCTTCCTTATGGAAGCAAGCTATTTAAACTAAAACGGCACAATCGTGAGGCCCATTCACACTATGCGATTTGTCGTATACGAATTACCCGGCCTTGCTTATGTGAATGTGATTATGTGAACATGTACAAACGTGACTTCAAATTCTGCCGTGAAAGAAATAAGAAAGATTGTGGCATATGCCCTCTTTTGCATTCGTAAGAATGATAATTGCATACAACTATAATCATAGTCAGAGTCTAAATAGTCCTATACATCCATCCTCTTTGGTTCTATATCGTTCATAGTTCTCCTTCATTCCAGGTTTGGTATTTGCTTGGCTGGATACAGTACTTAAAAGAGCAAGATTATAACTTAGTTGTGTATTACTTGGAAATGGCTCAAAAGGTATGTCTACATTAACAACGTTTTTATGTGTGTAAATACAATGCGGGCATGCAATATAATGAATCTAGTTCTCTTTTCAAGCTTTTTATTCAAACTGGATGTGACGACGAACCATTGCTGGAACATATTGATGAACTTTTATCTGAAGTAAAAGTTAAAACAAACAATGACAGCGTTGAACAAGATGATAATAACGATACAGATGATGACGATGATGATGAATTAAATTCAATGGATACGACCGCGTGATCTTACACATATCAAGAATAGTCAACAAAGATCAAACGTTTTGGAGCGACACTTCAGGAGGTGCATGCAAGGGGGGGGGGGGGTGTAGAACACGCCCTCTGGTCAGTAAGTCGGCAAATTTTATTTATAGTCGTCAAAATTTGAGATCAGAAAGGGCTTTTACATCTCACCGCCGAGAGTACGTGAGTTTATATAAATCTAACAAGATGGGCTGGTTTTTGAGTCTTACTGATATTACTCACTGTAGCCGATTAAACATTTTAAATCCCCATGGAACGGCTGGTGGTAGTCCAGAGGCTCTACGTTCAAAAATATGTAGGATCAATTTGTATAGCACAGTGTAACCGTACAGTCAATGGCATGTTAAATATCTGGTCTCTGGCTAATGAACACACTGAATTAGCTTCAGTTTCCCGCTATTACTCTACCTGAATTATTTGCTGTAATTAAAGTCTATTAACCGTGGGTGCATGCTTGTTGACGCGTTTGAAAATTCAGAAGTATAATCAATACCGAAAGGTTCCCTTGTATATGGGAGTATACTTGTATAGCACTGTCCTGTAACCGTGTTTAATTAAAGACGCAGCAATTATCCGGCTGGTGTTCGCGTGTGTCGATACCACTGACCTATACTAGAATCTATAATCTAGTATAGGTCAGTGGTCGAGACTCGAGAGTAAAACAAATAATACGTGCATGCACTCCTTATTTGAAATTTAAATTTCAAGAACCTTCTCCAGCAGACAATCTTGTGAAGCATGCAGGGAAGAAAGCAGAAAACAGACCTGGTTTGTCGAAATACCACTGTTATCGCTTCTGAATATAATTGTACACTACACTTTTTCAATTATACCATCTGTGCTGTACCGTATAGCTTCGTTCTACAATTGCGTCCTGAATGAAAGCTCATTGTAGGTTTACAATGTTTATTTAGTTAAACTTATTCTATGCTCATTTACAATACGTACTTTACTTGCTTAAGCTATTTGTCCTGCGAATAATTTCATGAACAGTATACTTGCATGCAGAATTCAAAATTCAGGAAGGATGTTTGTGTTCTTTTTGTTATCATAGAACGCGACCGCTGCAAAAAATTTTCTATACAAATTTCTCATCTCTGGGTAGCATGCGCAGTTGCAATTCAGTTTTAGGCAGTTGTCCTCTGCCTTAAAAGCTAAACTCACTTACCCTGTGGCGCCAATTAATGTAGGTGCGCTTTTTAGAGTTTATTTTATCAGGTTCAATTAAATTACATGAAATAAGCAGGCTTGCTTTCAATTTATTGTATATTATATATGTTAATTAGAGAAGAGCAAAATTATTCCTTTCGAGATCCGACCTGTCAGTTAATCCCTGGATAGATTCATATCACAGAAGACATCTGTGTCTTCCTTCAGCAGATAATAGCTTATTATACAGTAAACATCCGCATCTTTCTTCAGCAGTTCACGTTCATAGTATTCTATAAATACGCCTACAATTCCAAGCTAGGCTACATATAAAACTAATGTTACTCGTCACGACTATCTTCATCGCGTCATTTGGTTCAGTGTATATACCAAGGTTAGTACTGCAAAACGGGTGTTACGAATGCATACTATATATATATGATATATCTACACTAATATTACCACATTATAGTTTTTTCAGATATATGAATGATGAACGCTCTTTTGAAAATTGTTTTTTGCCTCGGTATTCTTGGCCTGTCAGCGTCTGCGAAATCATTTAAAGATTGCTGCGAATCCTTTTTGGATGAACTGAAAAAGAAATCAGAAGCTGCTGAGTTACTCTGTTCGTTGAACAATCAATCTTTTGTTCCTTTACCATTTGGAAAGCATTGCAATTGTAAAACGCTAAAAACTGAGTTGAAAGAAAGATGGGACGGTTTTTACAAACTTTGCCCAATAATGCGGAAACAGCAATGTAAGTACAAATATGAACGCACATATTATATTTATACTACGACTATGTATATGGAGATCAAGGATACAATGTTTTGATTTTTATCAGTATTGTCCGACGTGAGATCTGATATATTTTTCTTCTAATTTTTCAAGGTTCCAATGCAAAGTCGATTATAATCACAAGACGCAGCACAGTTGACTACGCGATAAGCCAGGGAGCTCCCCAGATGAAGGAAGTCACAACGTGTTTCTGGGTAAAGACCAAGCAAGTGACAGGATATCCACATTACATTTCCTACGCAGTCCCATTAGCAATAAACCAGATAATTATTAAGAGCATGGAAAATCTCAGACTCCTCATTGTGCATTATGCATCAGATTCAACCAAAGTTTCCTCAAGGTAGGATAATCAATATATTTTTTCTGTTTTATAAAAAATAATCGATTTGACTTCTATCTTTAACGAATAAATCTTTTATATGATTTATACTTTTCCATTTTTTAGTAGCCATTGTGATGAGGGGCGGAAATTCAAACGAGTCATACAATCAGTCAGGCCAGCAGGCAGGCAGGCAGGCAGGCAGCCAGTCACATAGTGTGAACTTGTTTATACACATGATAAATTGTTTGACGAAGAGAAGAGACATGGTGTTTTTTGTAGTCTACGCATAGACGGAATATGACGGAATATCCCCGCCTTTCTATTTCGGGCATGGGTCTACGACGCAGGCTATGTTTTTTGCTGAACCCTGTAATATACTAAACTGAGATATTTGCGCCCGCTTTGCATGAGCAACTAAAATTATAGTACTTTGAGTACTTTGAGCATGCAATTTCCTGTTTGATTAAGGGTAATGTTTAACCTAGTTCTTTATATTTTTACTGGCATAAGTCAAAGCGTTTATGCATGTTGGGACAAATGCCTGGTTGCTTAGGTATTAGAGGGCATGGAATATTTGGATTATCCTTGGATCCCTAGTTATTATTTCCTATTCTGCAGCAGCGCAATTAAGTGAGAAAATCATGAGCTCAATCTTGTTTGTAAATTTTTTCTAGCTCACACAATATCAAGATTAACGACGGACGCTGGCATCACATTTGTATGACTTGGCAATCAAAAGATGGCGGATATTCGTTTTTCAAGGATGGAAGGAAAGTTGGCAGTGGCACAATCTCTGGCAGTGTTGGAAAGCCAATTCCAGGCCAAGGCACATGGGTGCTGGGTCAAGACCAAGACAGCGTTGGAGGTGGGTTTGATGCTAATCAATCAGCCACTGGAGAATTTACCGGAGTCAATATTTGGGATAAAGTTTTGTCTTCTTTCGAGATTTTGAAAATGTCCAGAAATTGCAATGCCGGTGGACCCGCTGGTAATGTAAAGAACTGGGCTGATTTTCTATCTGGAATCAAAGGAAATGCCAAGATTGGAAAAGCAACTTGCTGTCAGTGATATTCTGATGCTTAATTGAAATCCCTTACAATCGTTCTTAGTGATACTTTCAGTATTTTAATGTCATATATATAATCTTGTGTAACTAAGCATGTAGCTGGACTTGATCAAATCTGCATATAATGTTCGTTAATTATTATGTACAGCCAACTGGATGAAAGGCCATTTGATTTGTCTATGTAGCATTCAGTCTTCATTGAAATTGGTTTAAAAAATTGAAGTATTGTCAATGTGGTGATGTATGTTTTAATTTTCGCTGGCGGTTGACTACCCATTTGATCGCAAAAAAGCGATTGGGCGACATTTTGCGCAGAACGGATGAGAGCATTAGTGTGGTGCGGAATTTTTGAACGAACGAAATTTTTCGCTTGACTTTCCTTTCAATTGTGAGAAGTGAAAAAATGCATAAGACAAACGAATTTTCTAAATTCGTTCACATGCAGACTTCTCAACACTTCAGTAAGACAGTGAGTAGTGGCCGGCCTTGATTGACACAATTACTATAACCATGCATGGCCATACCACGTAAACATATGCGCGATTGTATTGTTCAGGGCAAGAAATCTGGCTTGATTGAATAGTCTTGCAGACATGTTTGATCTCTGACTTAGGAGGTATATAATTTGTTCTGGAAAGTAATATAGAATAGTCAATTCCCCCGATTCAAAGGAGCGAGTGTGAAACAGGTCTTACGCCAGGTTCACAATTATCCTAGGAATCTGGGATTCCCTTCGTCTGTCAACGTTTCGACCTGAGGGACTTCGTCAGTCCTGAGAGAGTTAGTTCCTAAGTTGTTATACCACATTTGATGCTAAATATGGTCTAAGGTTCCACTTCTGTTTTGGCAATAATTATGTTATCTCAAATAAGATGGCTAGATATAGCCTTAGTTCACTATAGTTTGAACAAAACCTACATAGGGTATTAAATTCTATTTAAAAAAATTATTAGGTTTACAAAAACGGTACTGACAATTATCTTCAGGTTTGCTTAGTTGTGGAAAAATTGGTGTAATGTGCTTTCTCTAAAAGCTTCTATGATCTGAATAAAATTGTCAAGAAAACGTTTTGTGAGTTTTTCTTCACCAGAAGAAAAAAGATTGTCTACAACACGCCATAGAAATTGAGGCTGAGAAAGGATTCAATAAATAAAGCAGATATTTATAGGCTGGTTCTTATTTTGCGATGTATTGTTTTTCAGTGGCGGATGATGAAGACGTAAACCTATGACTATATGAGAACCAATGATTGTTCCCAAAATTTCGTAGTCGTATACTAGTTTCGTAGTGGTAACGAATCTAAAATTAAGAAACTAGTAACAAACTTACGTAAAAACAGACAGTACTCTCGACTCGTTATACTGTATATTTGCCACGTTATATTGCCACTTTTTTTTTTCATTTATATACTAATAAGCAAATAAGCATTCAAATTTATGCTCCAAACAAATGTGTCTTAATTCAATGCAGGATAACAGCTATAGCCGTGCTGAAAAGGTGGAGATTTTAGATCGAGATATTTCAAACGCGCTTTGCGATATATATATATATATATATATATATATATATATATATATATATATATATATATATATATACACTAAATATTTGTGATTTCAAGATATTCAATAATGCAGTAATTTCATGCCCTGAGAAATAAACAAACCTCGCTTTTCTGTTTATTTGTTTATTTGTTTATGCTTTTCTGTTTATTTGTTTATTTCTCAGGGCATGAAATTACTGCATTATTGAATATCTTGAAATCACAAATATTTAGTATATATGTAGCTATATACTGGATTTTAGGAGGCAAAAGAAACTTTGTTAAAAGGATTCAATCTGTGGCATGGCTGCGATGATCCAACTTTAAAGTTTCTGCTACAGTAATTTGATATGCAGAGTTATCAAGGTCGAGGTAAGCGTTATCAGCCGAGCCGAAGGCGAGGCTGATAACGCTTATAGAGACCTTGATAACTCTGCATATCACAAAAACCGAATTCAATAATTGTTTTATTATACATTTGAAGAATAGTAAGCATAGTATTAAAGAATGAAAAACCTTATTTAATAGCAACATCCAAAAATACATCAATTATTAATACATAATTCATAAATACATTCAAATGAATACCGCTTGTTAACCACCGCAGGCTCACTTGCAGATAACTCAGATAATTTTGCGTGATTGCGCGATTTATCTGTCAACTATTAGCCAATCAAGTTGCTTTTACTACTAT